ATTTTATTTCTTACAAAAATAGGGAATAAAATATAAAACACGCGAGCAAGTTAAAAATCGCGATCACGCCCGAACGAGTTCGCGTTCATTCGAAAGTTCGACTAGCCTACGAGACTTACTCTCGTGTACAAGACAACTCTATACCTCGGCACCCTCCCGACCGAACCTAGCCCACCCAGCCACCGCAGACCCTGCCATGTTTTACTCGCGAACGAGAGCGATCGACGAACCAACGAAACATCCGAAATCAAGCCGAGGGTCCCTAGCGTGGTCCTGTAGCCGGTCACGCAGGACCCTGCCACATGGGGGCGAAATTAATCATCCCATGGGGTCTGACCGCAGGCCCATATGCAATGTCGCGGCTACAGGACCCATACCCCGGTTGTGCACGCGCTGGTGCCAAGGACGACTAGGGCCGACAGACCCTCGGATTGATCCCAGATGAGTGTCAGCCCGCCGATCACCCTAGAACCAATGCGCGACAAGGGTGGCAATGGCGAGAGTGAGTGTCAGAACGAATCGTTTGGATGACTTACGAAGCATGGAGTTGTCAAGTACACGAGAGTACGTCGCGTAGGCTAACAATTTGTTATTAATGATAAATTTTATAATTTATACATTTTTTATCTACTATCACCGCATTTAATAATTAGTTATAGTTACTCAGGTGCACAAATGATTATAATTATGGACATTAATAAACTCGGGATACTCTCACCTAACTTGTAAGACAACATTGAATCTCCAAATATTATTACTTTTTGTGTAATAATTCATTTTAGTAAAAAATCGTGTCCATTTGGAAAAACTCATATTTTTCGAAAGCTAAGGATAATAGAGCAATTTCGATTATGGATTCATTTTCAGGGAAGTAAACTCCGCATAATTATGCAATGGATATTAAAGATTAAACTATAATAGAAATATTGTATGTGTTTAATCGAATGTAGTATTTATCTCGATGTTTTGGTTTTGACTGCTAGGTTATGACTGCCGCCAATCCTGTATCTCATCATTTCAGTTAGGAGCTTTGACTAACTCAGGCCAATATACCCTTCGTCTATTGCTAATTTACAGCCTTTCACTAGGGCCTAGTCCAAGTGGTGTCAGTTCGATCTGAATGTCCACGAGTCATCGGACGCTGGTAATAAAGAAATAAATCAGACTCCATTGACTCAGGATGCTCAGTGTTTGGCAGTGAATCTAGAGAACAATGTCCACTCTAACACTCCTACTGATTAGTGACTTCATATCATTATCTTACCGTATACGCGAGTATTCGCTATGCTAATCTTATCCTTAACAAATATACTTTTATTACATAGAAATTTCAACAATATCTCAGGTCCGATATCCTCCGCTTCTCTCGTTGTTTGAACGTCATATCTATCGCTAGGCTTTCGCGCTACGTGCGTGCACTGCCGATAAACTGGCTAATAGATCATGCGCAGTACGGCGTTCTTCTTGTGACACACAATTCTCGCGGGATAAGCGCCAGTCTTCTGCGCGTCTTCGTGCGAACGTGTACCGTATCATGACCTTGTTCCCCTTCATCTGTTCCTTTTCCGGCTCACACCTCGAAATAATCGGGACGATACGCGGACGGTTCGAATAACAGACAGAAACGAGTCTTCGGCCGATAAAAATGAAATACATCGGGGCACTCGACGTGGGTACTACGACCGTGCGTTTTCACATACTCGACGAGAAGGCGAACACCGTTGCTTCCTCCGTGGAGAAGGTTTGATATTTACTTATTTTTCTTAATATATCGAAAATTGCTGGGTGTGCGAAAATTTATTTCCGATGCACGAGTTCCTGGAGCAAAGTGGAATTCGAAAATATACGATATTTCGTTGGAAGAATATTTTTTGGAGGCGTTTCGGAAACTTTCGGTGCGATGTGAGAGAAAATTGTGGGAAAATCGGCGGAAAATTGTAGGAATTGAGTTTGTGGATTATGTTCAATGGATGTCACGTGATCTCAATCGAGTACTTTGACGAAACTCTTTCTCCTTTTAATCGACGCCTTTTATCGATAATTTTAGAGCGAAGATTAAGTTCAGATTTTTAGGATCAAGTTCAGATTTTTCTATGAACTGGATGAACTCGTGAGGAAAAGCAAGTTGATTTTGAGATAATAAGAACACGGAATTATAATTCTTTCGCGATCGCGAAGGAATCGATTGTGGTAAATTGTCGAATAGCGTCCTATACCCGTGTAAGAAAAATGTTTAATATTTTACTGACTCTAGAGTTGCGTCAGCAATACGAAGTTAGAAGCTCGACTACGTTTATATTAAGACTATTTTTCAACTGCTTGTTGCATTTGACGAAATCTTCTTTGATAAGATTACATAACGTGTGGCAAGATTAGGTTAACATTGCTCGATAAGATCCGATCTTAAGCAAATGAACATTACTCCTCGGCATATTTTATATTATCTAGAAAGTTAATCTTTTCGATCGCTTAATTAAATCAATGAGATATTGGCGCGAAAAAGGCGAAATTATTAAATTATTGAATTATTAAATTATTAAATTATTAAATTATAACGAGAACATGGTCTGTGACACAATCGTTGAGATAATTAAAATATTTTCAAAAGTCGTAATTGCGATATATTTATTTATTTATTTTTATTCTATTTTAACGGGTAATAATTTTTCGGTTACAAGAGGTACGTTATTTATTACGAACGTAAATGTCGGATAATCCCTCAGTCGTAATTACAGCCAGGTAATTACAACGATTGCTGTAACGACAATTCAAAACACAGTCGCTTCATATGAATGACAAATTATATTACATACGCATAGCATGAATATAAAATAAGCATTTATTAATCTTACATAAATATTCCCAAATATGTAATTAACATAATATTTAACATGGATAAATATAAATATAAATGTATATGCACTTACTTTGAGTAAAAATAATTTATTACTTTGAGTAGAAATAAAAATAACTTCATACGAAATAAGCTTTTGTTTTTAATGATTTTTATTTTACACGAGTCATTTTAATTAATGTTAATTTAATTAACTAAGTTATTAAACACTTAAGTTATTTTAATCAATGCATTTCCATATTTCTATGTTTTCAACACTCTCTCCCGTTTCTTTTCACATGTCACGGACACAAAGTAGAATAGATTTTATTTTGCGTTAACAAATAATTAATCGTGAGTATTAAATTAATTATTTAAGGTAGTAGAAATGATCGAATCGTGGAAATGATCGATTTTGAGGACTACAAAATCAGTGTTGCACGAGGAATGCCAAATAACAGGTTACAGAGGAGCATTCTTAATATTTTACTTCGATTCTACTATACATCACATAGTAACACGATCCTGAAAAAAAATTCCTTCTGAATCATTTCCCTGCTTGAAATCCGTGGACGAGATATTCCGTCCCCGCTTATTTTTCGTGAAACTGTCTGCGAAACGTACATCATGCGAACCGGTTTCGACGGTATTACGTTCTATCTACATCCGTTTTATTGTTGCACGTAGGCCGAGACGAAATGATATCAACGACAATTGGATGGGCCAACGATATAACGATACTTGGTCGCGTTGCTTATTAACCTAATTGCACACGTACGTACGTGCAATTACACTGGCGCGTCGCGCATGTCGTGCATTTGCTTGTACTTGAAGGAATAAAATGTCAGGAAAGAAGCGAATTGAGGAAAAGCGCGAAATTATTTGGAATATTAAATGAAACTTAGGCAAATTTCGTCTCGTAACAGTCGAGATGAAAAAGATTGAAAATCAATGATCTGAGTTAATTTAGATGAGATCATTTGGAAGGATTATTCAATGTTAATCGAAAAATATGTTCTTCTCGTCTTAATTTTAATTTAATGAAATTTGATGACAAATTTAATTAATCCGTATAATGCGTTTCCTGCTAATTGAATTACTATGCTATAGCGATCGCGAGGTTCGTGAAAAATTTTATTTTGAAGTTATACGTACATAAAACTGTTCGTGTAAAGCTGTCTACTCCTTCTTTGGCCATAGACTTTAATCTTACATGTAACACTTCATGTAATAAACATGTAACAGCTCAAGGAAATTTGTATGAACATAACAGTTGTAGCTATTTTAAATAAAGATATGATAAACATCAGTTATATTGATGATACGCAATATTGATTATCATAATGATGGATATAGTAAACATAAAAGCGATCACTAATTTAGGAAGTACCACGGTAGCTACTATAATTATACTATTGCAATTAGTGTAGTAACTAATGTTCTCCTAATTTATATTCAGGTCCGTCTTTTATATCCAAAGCCTGGCTACGTGGAAATAGATCCAGATGAGTTATGGCAGGCCATAGTGAACGTGATAAATAATACTTTAAGAGGTAAATTCTAAAGAAATTCTAAAGAACATCTATTGAAATTCTATAGAAATTCCAAAGAAAATCTAAAGAAATTCTAAGGAAATTCTAAAGAAATTCTAAAAAAAATCATTGTTCCAAAAAATTAAATTGTTCTCCATTTTATTCTAGAAAGCAAAGTGAATGCGGAAACTATAGTTGGTCTCGGAATATCCACGCAACGATGCAGCTTCACAACATGGAATTTGAAGGATGGGAGACACTATCACAAGTTAGAATAGTCATACCTATTAATCGTTTTTTTCCCACCCAATGGTACAGACTATATATATACTATCATTTATCTTACATTTCAGTTTCATCACGTGGAAAGATTCACGTGCTAACGACATGGTAAATGAATGGAACTCATCCATATCAATGAAAGGATTGCGATTAGGATCGCAAATTTTATACACGCTCTCGAGGAAGAAACGATACTTGGCCGCGAGTGTCTTCAAATTCATGAACACACAGGTATTCATCTTTTTCGAATTTTCATAACCTTTGTGTAAGAATTAACGTATTTACGTCAATCATTCTATCAACCATATCCGTTTGAAAGAAGAATACAAATCATTCCCGACTTTGAATTCAAAATGAAAAATGAGATTTTAAAAGTTCTTCCTTTGAACGTTTGATTTGTCATTTTAATTTTCTTGCGATTTCCAATTCCATCGATTATTGTTCGATCTAAGTTAATTCTACGCAATCAAAATTTTATTTCTCTCTGAGAAAAAATTGAAAAGGAAAAATTGATGAGAGAAAAATTTTATGATTGTAATTTTTCTTTATCTGTTCACTATCTGCTACGATCCAGAAGATTGAGATCGATCATCGTTTCGAGAAGATCGCAATATTAATAGAGCAACAAAGACATAGATCAATGCTTCAAACGTATAGACGCTATAAAACTCCAAAAAATTTTGATTTAATTATCGTTTATTTTTTACTATTTGTTTTACGGTGCAATTTAGATATCTCTAAGGTTATTGTGGGCATTGCAACATGTGCCAGGTTTGCAGGAAGCGGCGAACAACGGAAATGCCGTTTTCGGAGGTGTCGATTCTTGGCTTTTGTATAAACTAACTGGTATTCATTTCGATATTATATCTTAACAACGCATATTTATTCTAGACAAACAAAAACCACTCGATTTACGAAGATTTTATTAGCCGCGTTACTAATTGAAAGGATCATATCAAAATATATCTACATACAGTCCAAAAAGTACGTCATTCTTTTAACACGTTAAGTGCCCAGCCCGTTTCGCTTGCCATTCAGTTCAGGCCCAAACTCGGCCGTCAAATGAGCCACCTGCGGCGGGCGAAGTGTTTATAAAACTCGGAGATACTGTAATAATTGTTATAGCAGGAATTCCCGAACGTTAGGACCAAAGATGGCGAAGAATTTAACACCAAAAGGTAGCACCTTTTGGTCCTAGTCTTGGTCCGAACGGAAAGTCTAGCGTCGGTAACTGGGGACCGGCCGGGCCTAAACGGAAAGTCTAGCGTCGGTAACTGGGGACCGGCCGGGCCCGAACGGAAAGTCTAGCGTAGGTCCCTGAGAACCGGAGTGGCACTTAACGTGTTAATATCGATTCCACGTGATACTAGCCTTATTTCTAAACACTTTTACCTAAGAATGCATAATTGCTTAAAAATTCAAACAAACATTCTTTTTGAGATTAACAAAAGTTGCTTTTGATACGAACCTTTCAATTTTATCTATTTATTTATTTCATAGAAAAATTCTCTAAATTATGTGCTCTTTTCATAGGAAGACACGTGACAGACGTCTCGAGTGCATCAGCTACTGGACTCTTTGATCCATTTACAATGTGCTGGTCATATGTAATGATAAACCTGCTGAAACTGCCGAACAGCATCTTTCCAGAAGTAATGGACACCTGTGGCAATTTTGGTGTCACCCCAAAAGACGTATTCGGAGTGGAAATTCCTATACTTTGCTCAGTAAGTCATGTTAACCTGTTTAGAATCCTATCATCTATCCTTTGCTACAGTAAATCGATGATAATTCCGACAATTAAGAAACCCGAGCAAAAGAAAAGTTTCCAAATTAACTGTGTCACTCAAAGTAGATGGCAGATCAGTCAGCTTCGCTGTTTGGTTCGGGATGCACGCAACCGGGAGATTTGAAAATCACCATGGGAACTGGGACATTTGTGAACGTGAACTCGGGAAGCAAAGCTCATGCCTCGGTTTCAGGTAATTGTGATTAATTAGAAACAAAAGAGCCAGGGAATTAACCCTTTGCACTCTAGAGGCGCCCTTCAGTCGTCATTTGATAAAATTTCGAAGATCGGTATTAATTAATATGTCAAATTTAAGATAATGTAACGATGTGCGAGGTATCGAAATCAAATAATTCTATTTGAAATTGTCAAGTGTCAATTATTATACTATTTCTTATTTTCTGCTCAAAAAAATATTGCCGGCTTCATAGTAGAAAATCTTGGAACTCCTACTCTTCTTTAGCCAAAAAATCGTCGAGTACAAAGGATTTGCGCAATTAAAAGTACGGGCAAGAAAATTCGTAGGTAAAGCTAGATAAATTAATTCCAAGTGAAATTCCAAGAATGTATCAAATTGTGATTTGAAATTCTTTTTCACAGGTTTATATCCACTAGTCGGATGGCGGATAAACGACGAATTAGTATACATGGTGGAGGGTGCATCGAACAACACAGGGGTCCTCATTGAGTGGGCCAAGAAGATAGGCAAGTTCTTTTAAATCACGTTCGATAGATCTTTGCAGCACAATTTTAATACTAGAACTACCGAGTAGCTAAATATTCTATACACAGAGGATAATAATTATAATAGTATTGTGATATTGCGAGCTGGGAAGAATTTTAGCAAAGAAAGCAGTATTAAAAGCGGTATCGAATTCAACCTAGGCGTTTAGGGTATCATCTGGAGTGCATGCGGATGTACGGATGACCACGTGCAAGAATTGCATGGATGAGATATTTATGACGAGATAAGGAATGAACGAAAGTCTAAAGTAGCTGGCCCACCAAGAGCGAGGTCGCGTGGGAAATGAGCGATCAACGAAGAGAGCTTGTGTATGAAAAGGGAGAATGTTAGACTTTAACCCTTTGCGCCGCATAAATGTGTCCCACGTAAATGGCCGAGAAACACAAATATGCGCCTGCTGTTGCGGTCCTAAGACCCTCACGTCCCAAGTTAAGTGGTGGACTGTCTTATATCCTTATTGTTAGCGTCGCTATGAACGAAGATCGCGTTTAACACGTTGAGTGCCACGCCAGTGGACCTTCCGTTCGGGCGCGGCCCAGACTAGGACCAAAAGGTGCTAACTTTTGGTGTTAAATTCTCCGCCATCTTTGGACCTAACGTTTGGTTTTACGTGCCGTTCCGTTCGCGCCATTGTTAGTCGCCGTGCGGGCCTGTTCGGGCCGTAGGGCCCGGCGTGGCGTTTAATGCGTTAAGTGCCACGCCGGTGCCCAGGGACCGGTGCTAGACTTTTCGTTCGGGCCCGGCCCAGACTAGGACCAAAAGGTGCTAACTTTTGGTACTAAAATCCTCCGTCATCTTTGCACCTATCGTTTGGAAATTCCTGTTATAACAATTGGTACAGTACCGCCGAGTTTTATGAACACTTTACCCGCCACCGGTGGCTCATTTGACGGCGCAAGACTTTCCGTTCGGGCCCGGACGTTCCTCAGGGCCCGGCCCAGACTAGGACCAAAAGGTGCTAACTTTTGGTATTAAAATTCTCCGCCATCTTTGCACCTATCGTTTGGAAATTCCTGTTATAACAATTGGTACAGTACCTCCGAGTTTTATGAATACTTCGCCCGTCACTGGTGGCCCACTTGACGGCCGAGTTTGGGCCTGAACGGAACCGCAAGCAAAATGAGCTGGACACTTAACGTGCTAAGCAGTAACGAGCGCTGGTAGTTTTGAATGACTGTCGTAGCAGCGGCTCGGTTTACCACGGTACGGTTTACTCAAAACCGCTCCGTTCTCAAAGGGTTAACATTTAACCGTTTGAGTCCCAAGTAGCGCGATCGCACTGTTCAGATTTCTTGTCGAGGAAACACAACACATTTCGAGCGTTCTTGGCAGCTGACGGTGCGTCACCGACTATCGAAGTCGAAGCGCTGTCGCGCCCCACTTGGCCAGTTATCGCCATAATATAAACAAAGCACGGTCGCACTGCTTGGGATTCCTCGACAATGTTTTTTCAAAACCCTCTGGGACTCAAACGGTTAATAAGGATGCAAGAGCGCGGGTGAAGCGAAGAAGAATACGTGTAGTCGAGACGTAGTGAGTAGAGAATCGTGTGTTTGAGAGTTAGGATTGAGAGAAAGTTAGTGTAATATTTTAGTTTAAATAAATCTATTTTGTTATTAAAAACGAGTCGTTGTTTATTAGATCTTGAAACTGATTTTTGTCAGTATAAAATTAATCTAGTATTCATTCGACAGTATTATAATAGTAAACGAAGATAAGTAGGTAATATCTAATCACACTTCTATGTCAATTTTGTTAAAAGCAGATGCATGTTTTTAACAAGTCCCAACGTAAGATATCTCAAATTATTCGTATAGTAATTCTAGTATGAAGTAAAAGACATATGGCTAGAATTTTAAACAGGTAACTATTTCAGGCATAATTGATCATGCTGCTGAAACAGCGAACACTGCCAGGTCTGTGAATGACTCTGATGGAGTGTACTTTGTTCCTGCGTTCAGTGGATTACAAGTACGTTACTTTTAGAAATTGTTTATAACGATTTACGTTATTACGTGGATTCGACTAAGAAAATTTTCCATGATTTGTTTATAGGCCCCCATAAACGATTACACGGCGGCAACAGGCTTCGTAGGCTTAAAACCTACTACAGGGAAGAGTCACCTCGTTCGGTCTATATTAGAAAGCATCGTTTATGGGATTTTATTACTTTACGAGTCACTGTGCACAGAAACTTCTTTCACTTATGACAAAATACGGTTGGAGAAAAATTCCCTATAAAAATTTCGTTCCATACGAAAGCAGAAGTTATACCGACGGTAACTCAGAAGATAAATGTCAAGAATAGTATCTATCGTGATATATTAATTATAAATTAATATTAATATTAATTTAATCTTTTATTTTTAAAACGGTAAATAAGAAATCGTATGCAAACTAAGACGTAAAATTATTTTACTTCGATATTCCACGCATTGTTGGGTAATTGTAAATTATTATATATTAATTATCATTCGTGTTTAGAAGCTGATAAAATGGCGACTGAGAGGCGCCTCTCGAGTGTAAAGGGTTAAATTTATTTTAATTTAATTTAAATAAATTATAAATTAATATTAATTTTCGAACCCCAGATTTTTATACGAATCATTCGCAGATCAAACTAATTAACTTCGCTGTTCGAATTCTTTTTAATTTTCGGCGCCGAAACTCTCAATTGATGCTTAACTTCTTACATTTAAGATAAACTTCTACTCTGTAGAGTTAATTATCTTAGCAAATGAACGATTCAAATCTAATCTCCCTATTCTTGATATTTTCATTCTTAACACGTTAAACGTCACGTCGGTTTTACGTGCCGTTCCGTTCACGCCACAATTAGCCGTCACGCGGGCCCTTCCGGGCCGTACGGACCGGCGGGGCCTGAACAGAAAGTCTAGCGCCGGTCCTTAGGGACCGACGTGGCGTTTAACGTATTATCCCTTTGCACTCGAGAGGCGATTCTCAGACGCCATTTAAAGATCGTTATTAATTAATATCTCGAATTTAAAATTGCCCAACGACGCGTGGAATATCGAGATAAAATAATTCTTCGTCTTGTTAATCTGCACTATCTGCACTTCTTCTTTTGAAAATATCTTTATGGCAGAAAGTCGACAATATTTCTAAAACGGTAAATAAGAAATCGTATGCGAATTAAGACGTAGAATTATTTTACTTCGATATTCCACGCATCGTTGAGTAATTGTAAGTTATTATATATTAATTAACATTCGTGTTTAGAATCTGATAAAATGGCGACTAAGAGGCCCCTCTCGAGTGCAAAGGATTAACTTCTACTTTGAATTTTGTGTGCCTTTCTCTTAATTCCTCCGATTACAAATTCCCCGATTTGTATTTCTTGTCAATAGAATCGACGGTGGAGTGTCAGGGAACGATTTTGTGTCGCAATTGTTGGCCGATCTGACAAATCTCGAGGTGGAACGAGCGACGAGCACAGAAATGTCTATTTTAGGAGTAACATTTCTCGCTGGCTTACAATGCGGTATGCAAATTACTAGGCCTTACTGAACTCTCGACAATTGGCATCCTTGAGTCATAAACGGCCATACTCGGGTTATTTTTCATTCTTATCTGAACCTAACCCGACTTATTATTATTATCTCACCGATGACCCAACGATACCCGTTGAAAATGGAATCGTGAATCGTACAATAGAGCGTATACAATAGATCAGCTTTCAGAAAAATGAACGTTTGTAGTCGTTTAAGAAAATATCGTATAATCGCTATTATTATACAATACAATGCAAACCCGCGTAACCTATTTTTCATTCTACTTTCCCTTTATAATATCGGAGAAAGTTGCGCTTATTTAACTGCACTTTCTCGCGTAATGTAAGATCTAGAGAGACCCATAACCCGGAACGCTATTTATACACTACCATGTCTCATGATCATCCTTTCCATTTCTATCCTGTCTAATATAAATTACAGAATACGTCGATTATAATTGCATATTAGTATTTGATATATAAAAATTTGATGATTGTATTTAAAACAGGGATGACAATTTGACGGAAATGTATTATAGCGAAATTTCTTTTATATTTCCGTGGACCAGTCTATTTCTAATCTTAGCTGAATCTCTTTATTTATTTCTCAGGTTTATGGAAAAACAGGGAAGAGGTATTTAAGCTTCGAAAGATACAGACAATATTTAAGCCAAACGCAGAGAACACGGCGCGATATCAGCCGATAATTGCTCAATGGAGAATAGCTCTACAAAGACTCGGTCAATGGTACTGATATTCATACCAATGATAGAAATTAATAATAGATTACGGGAATTTATCGTAAGAAGCAAAATGGTGGTCCTCGCTCTCCAAAAGGAAGTTCGGAAAACGAGATACAGTGTGATTTTAGGCATTTTAGTCATTTTTATAATATACATGGTCGTACTTGGTATTCTGTTTTTATTATAAAATCGAAAATAATAACTCTTTCAAACAGCACTTTTTATAATTGTATAAATCAGCATACATTTTTTTATTAATAATAATTGCTTTCGACAACGGTCAAGGTGATTCAGTTTGTAGGTTATTATTTGCGACGATAAACATCGAATGCATAGGTACATAAGAAAATTATATATTACACGTTGGTAATAAAAGCTCCTAATTTCGGTGTTGAAACGAGAAACTTCAACCATTTCAACGGACTTTCATTGCGTTAAACGTGGTTCAACCCTCTATACAAACTTTCACTTCTATGACGTGGAGTACATCGGAATGTCTTTTTGGAGAAATAACGTTTCCAATGAAACGATCGAAAAATTCAGCAGAGCTGTGAATAAGCACTAACTTTGTTTAGAAATCAATCGGAGTTAATCGAAGAACAGAAATTTACGTGTCAAATTAACCCTTTGACTGCCACGCCGAAATCACACGTTTCCCTCAGGACGCCACGGGAGTGCACCGCTAGATGCAAGATTTGTTCTATGTTTTTGATGTTCTAATAAAAATTTTTAATCGTTCAATGGGGCACTTTTTATTTCAAAGTATCTCCTAATTAGCGGTTATATTCAAAATGCACTAACTGCCAATTTTCATTCAATATAATTCAATGTAATTCAAGTAGTTCAAGCGCTCCGGTCACCAATGACCATCATGGCGTGACAGGAGAAACCGTGGCCGGTCATATATGACCAACGTGGCAGTCAAAGTGTCAAATCCACTGCAAATTCTGTAGAAGAATACGTTAGAACTGAGTACTCGAAAAATTCTGTGGGAAATTTCATAGAAAGACTCGTTAGAAAAATGAGATTTCGGCATAAGAAAAATGGAGGTACGTCGAGTTACCATTTTCTCGCGTAAAATTTCTTCTCGCGGAAGCGATTGCTCGGAGGAGAATTCGAATCGATCTTTTAGAACTGCGTGAGTCAATTCTCTAACGTCATTGAGAAATGCTGTTAGAGATTACGTGTTAGACTTCCTCGATTACGCTTGCAACACGCGTAAGATATACCTGAATCGATGAGAAAGTTCGAAGAAAGTCGATGGAACGGTCATTCCAGTAGCAATCGAGGAAAGAAGGAAACGGAAATGGAATAGAGCTACTGAGATCAACACTGATCATACTGTGAAAAATTATCCCGTTTTACGATCCATAATTCCGTAACTGCGTTCGAAATAGTGATAAATTATAAGCCTAGGGATTCGTTTCTTACAAGTGCCATTAAAAATACGTTCGGAAATTAATGCAGTTTCTACACTTGACTTTTAAGTGAGCAAAAACTCTCAACGTCTCGTAATTTTTATTTAAATTTTACAATTTAATATTAATGTATCTGTACATCTCGATCGAATTTATCGATACATTTCACGCGAATTTTATTAATTCGTTGTTAAATTGCATTTTTATTCATTTATTTATTGCTAAACTTATTTTTCCCTATTTATTACTAAATTACTAAAGATTGCTGAATTTTCTTTCTAAATCTCTGTAAATGAATTTATTATTTGTTATTTATTATATATTATTTATTATTTATTATTATTATTCGAAATATCGCTGTAGGTATAAACGATTCTTGTTTCCCAAAAATCTGGTCGGGCCTGAAACCAAAGCACATTTTCGTTTAGCTCGTACAATACCCGACGAATTTCTAAGCTCATACCAGCCGCAAGATTGGTGGAAATAATCAGATACAGTTCGCTTCCGTTTGAATGCAAATTCAACCCGTCCTCGACTTTTTGACTCGACACGTAAGATCCAATGAACGGCTATTTCGACCAGTTTTTATTCTGTCGTTACAACATTCGTGACACGCGAGAATCATTGTGATGTCAATCGTGTAATTATCAGCTGCAGTTAAAAATTTGCTCCAAGAACTCTCTCGACACGTTAGCTTGCAATAACAAAACGTGCAACACTACTGAGCCAGAACAATCGACAATTAAAAATGGTGAGTGCAAATAAAATAAAATCGTTATTACATCGAAAACCATACTGAAAATCGACTAACGACGAACGTAGAATAATAAACAATTGCGAATCGAAAATGAATAGAAAAGAGTCCCAAATTTTTACAGAAAACACGTTAATAAAAATTATTTTAAGCGATGAAACAGGGAAATATTATTCCATGTAACAAACGATCTGAAGTAGCTCGAGCTGCTCTATCTGCACGTCGAAATCTCCAAAATTCGCGTATACCTCGAGACAAAGTGAAACGGATGCAACAAATAGATGCAAGAGCGTAAACTCGTCCCAAAAATATATTAACTTCAGATTCCTCCGATGAACAAATGATTATTTGCAATTATTATAATATCTTATAAATCTTCTGAGCTATTGTCATCTGATTCCTTATCCGACTCACTGCTTTCTATTTCCAATTCTAAGTCTTCAATTGCGTCTTCCATCTTTCGTCCAATATTCGTGTTCCAGTGTTTCTACATGTTTACAAAATCCTTTCGAATCATTTGGTGTCGTTTCGTTTATTGTCTGGCGTAGTAGTGCTTCCAATTCATTGTAAGTTAACTCCGAGGTAACATTTCTTTCGCGGATATCTTACGCCTATGTTAACGCATCACGTTACCGAACTTAGAGCTAGTAGTTTTGGGAGTGCCATAGAATAGTGGGTATTACTAGCGAGAGTGTAGGCGGAACAAGTGGAGTACCCCTGATACCCTGCAACCGAACGAGATGACTTCTTTTCTGTCACGCATAGTAAATCCCACGAGATCCTTCGCGAAGGAAAAAGAAGGACCCTTGTCGTGTGGGTTTATTTGCGCAGCATCGAGGATGTTAAATCGCCTCTCTAGCAGGAAAAATATTATTCTGGTCGATCGTGTTGACGGGTCGTGATGTGCGTGGAATTTTCTTCTTTCACAATTTCGATTCAAGTGAAGGAGGCAAATGTGAAAGATTTATCGTTGATAATCACGTGTCTACACGGTATACAGAGGTGTTCGAAGTGAAGTGAAGATACTGTGTGGAATTGTTAGCGATAGGAGAAATAAGTTGGGACGTAGAAGTAAGCATATCGAAGATCGTTCGAAGAGAGAGACGTAACTTATGGTATTTATGGAAAAGTACAAACTTTTGGGAAGATACAGGAACGATTTAGAGATATTTCGCGATCTTTCGAAACTGAACGTGAAATGTTTCGTGAAACGAAGTCTTCCTCTGATAGAGTCATCTTGAGGATGATCGATGGTGGATGACGAGATGTGGATGAAGATGAAAAGTACGTAAAATAGATTGAATTTACTTATGACGAAAGTATTTATCGCAAACAATATGAGCTCCATGTGACTGTGAAATCCATATGATTTGTGTGTATAATGAAATGTTTTATTTATTCTGCCTGTACTTCTGACCCTGTTGAATATTGTTCTAGAGGTATTAGGTGATATCCGACAGCTTAAATCTGATATAAATAAACCTCAGAGAACAGAAAGAAAATATCAAAGTATAATGAAATTTTACATACATATTTATTAGCAGTTTATTTATTTTATTATATATGGAACTAATGCAATGCGAAATAATTTTCGCATCGAGTACTTTGGGATTGGAATTTTGTTTTATAAAGAGCGTCATAATTACACACCGTTGCTCCAATCTGGCTACGATTTATAGCCAGAAATATTTAAAAGTTCAAAATTTGTATAGATATGTGAATATTACACGATATTATAGAGAGTCTAATACTTCGTTTAATAGATTTTAGTGGATAATGTAATGTACGTATTTTAACCACTGTGTTTAGTTGACGTTTAAATTTCCACGATACGACAAACCTGTGTGCCCACTTTCGAGAACATGTTTCAGCGAAAGGGAAGGCGAAACAAGCCTAACCACGCGAATAGTTTGCATACTGATGCTTCCTAGAAATTGTCTTGATCGAGCATTGCTTACTTTAAACTTTCCCAAATCCTTTAGCTCTTTTTCATTTTTCCAAATTCATTTCAATTTCTTTTAGCTTTCTTTTTTTCCTTACAAAACAAAATCAATGCAAGTCGATCTTAAATTGATAATAAATAAATGCCGCGATACTTCAGAAAACATTCCATGTCTCGATTCTAAGTAAGATCTCTTCTGAAATATGGCATTGTATTTACAGAATTGTACGGAAAAATTCCTTACTCTTGATATCTAGTTTATCTCTAAAATTCCTTATTCTTGATATCCAGTTTATCTCTACATTTTAGCTTCTTTCATTTTTCCAAATCCATTTCAATTTCTTTTAGTTTTTTTTCTTCCCTTACAAAACAAAATCAGTGCAAGTCGATCTTAAATTGATAATAAATAAATACCGCGATACTTCAGAAAACATTCCATGTCTCGATTCTAAGTAAGATCTCTTCTGAAATATGGCACTGTAAATAAGAATTGTACGGAAAAATTTCTTATTCTTGATATCCAGTTTATCTCTAAAATTCCTTAATAAGTTTTTTCCTTAAATTTCTTACATAAGTTTCGTAATTTGTATTCTAAAAACCAAACCTGAATGAAATTGTTGTTACCTAAGTTGCACCAAGGATGATCTCATCCCTTACATTTTTTGCATTTGCCAACAAGGTGTACCACTAGAAACAATATTTCTACGTCCAGTCGAGGTGCAGCTGTGTGAAAGACAACATCGTCCTTTCTCAACTCACGAACTACTGGCTACTAACATCTGTCGGACATTTACGAATCTTAAATTTCATCTACATGTGCAAAAATTACAACGTTGTCTAATAGTACACTAAACACGTAATTTTTGCGTAAGTACTCATACGATTACATCACTTTGAAATTCCTTGCTTATTTCGCGTGATTCGAACAAATGAAATTTGTTCCAAATAAGTTAAAATTAAGATTGATAAGATACGATTGCTTCTCAGTTTATTCTCCCGTTAAATAAACGAAATAAAGTGAGATATTCGATCTCTTAGAAGACGTCAAAATTATTTGCACGAAACAAAGATAACGGTAATATGGAAAAATGTCGGGCTACGTTAAAAATTCCACTGGCATATCGGTGAAAAGAAATTTTTCTTCGTTTCCAAACTTCCATTTCCCATCTCGTGCCGGTTACATCGGAATCGACTTAACGATTTGTTGTCAAAAAAGGAAACTAACAGTCCATCTTCCATGAATCTTGATCACCTTGGATTACTATGAGTGGATCTGTCGGATAAAAGAAAATAAATTTATAATTTATAATAAGTTATAATAAATTCATAAAAAATCTTCCTGGACTAGGTAATTAATATTGCAAAAATAAAAAAGTACTATTAAAAGGAAACGTCAAACATCAAAACTTACTAATCTAATATGAATCTCATTTTAATATCGTTGGAAAAAATCTCGTGACAGATGTGCAATTGTTTCTTTTAAAATTCTAATTCCCCCGACTTGATTTACAGACGGAAATCGTGATCGAGGTCGGCAAGGTAGAACAAGAGCCTATCTCTTCGGAGACGGAGGATATGAAATCAGTCACAAAGGAGTGGCGAATCGACATGGAATCAAACTTACCAGAAGACGTTGAGACCAGTGAGTGATTTCATTGGAGTTTATTGCGATTAATCTTTTCTTTTCTATTCTTTGTTTTACTTTCTTTCTCCATATCTTTTCGATGCTAGTAGAATGAATCATACAATGATTGTGCTATGTAAGAAAATTTGAATAAAGCGAATAAGCAGCCTGTTATGATGGAGAAAGATCTCTAGAAGCTTCGGTGTGACAGAACGAATCTGAAAACGGTTTCCTTTGTATTAGAACATGCATGCTTTACGTTGCTTATAATGCATGTTTGCATTATAATGTATAAACAAATGTGATAAATATAAGCGATGATAACTAAAGTGATAAAAGAAAATGTACGCATACCCACATCTATAATTACATTTCTGTCTGAGTGAAAGTCGACGTTAACTTTTAGCAATTGCAGAAACGAAAAATCTGAAATCTCATTTTGACTGGTTTAGTGGTTCTTATGTTAATTGTGTTCATTCTCGAGGTGTATTTCTTCGATATGTGATCGGTTCAGTTTAGAAATCTTAATAATGCTTATGCTCGTAATTTAAATTTAAATGATATAATTCTCTTTTGCCCCTTTCAATTTCTTCAAGAAGAACTATTTGCTGGCTCGTTTAATGGATAGCTTGTGCATTTGCATATCGATGTTAATTTCTCAGCGTTCGAATATTAATAAGCTTCGTGATCTCATCTGCTTAACCATAATTACGCAAAGCAAATTATTATTATTCTTTTTAATCGATATCTAATCTGTTTATTCCTGTTCGCTGCTATTACAACTTACTTCGATTCTAAATTAAAGGTCCCCAAGGTAAACGTTTATTTTTCATCCGTATTCACCAGAGAAACTCAATATCGGACAGAAATGACATTTCTGTATGTACTCGTAAAGATAAATACTTATCCAAGATCTTATAGCTTTCTGTACTCGACCTTTGGAAAAATTACTACGTTCCACGGAACTCTTTAGTTAGTTTTTTCCTATGCCTAATTGAAAATATATGATGTCATTCCATATCACACGGCACTTAGTCGAGTAAAAAGTAAATGACACGTGCTATCGTGAATTTCCACGAAGTGTGTTACAACTTCTTGTAAAGTATCGAGTTTTAATAGTTCTCATTTTGAGGATGTATGAATTATACTGTAAATCACTGCTGATCGACACTAACCATATGTCCAACTTCGTAGCTGGACATGTGTCTGACGTAGCCTATAAATCATTTAGCTATTCGCTTAACAATACCTCTGTGATTTTGTACGAACTTTCGTCGAATCACTATTCGCAACGTTGAACTATAGAACGCAATTTGTTTCAACGCTCAATTTCTTATCGATTGATATATTATTTCGTGAAGGCGGTCGAATAAAATTGTAATAATTTTGGAATTATCCGTGATAAGAAAAGACTTGAAAGCAATTGGATAAAATTCGTGAGAGAAAAAGTGAAAGACGGAAATTAAAGGCGGTATTTCTTTTAGATTTGATTGACAAAACGTAAATCAGAATACTTGCGTTTCTTTGAGATTTGTTAGGCGATTGTAACAATGAAAAAGTCTAATAGAAGAAGTATAAAAATTCCCGCTTCCTGAATAACACAGAAAAAATAATGAGAAAGTTACGGAATTTATAAATGAAAATTAAAATAGCTACTTCTTTGGGTTTTGTAGCAAAAGAGATAGATAATAGTAAGTAAAATGGGAACAAAAATTGGTTCCAACAAAGTAAACAATATTTCGATCAAGTCGATAATCGATAAGAGGTTTATCGTGCAAATTTGATGAATATAGCACAGATATTTTCCATGCTGGCAGTATTTATACGTAGCAATAACAATTGATAACATATTTGTAAAGTTATTCACGAAAGCATAAACATCGATAAGAAATTCAATACATTATTCCAGAAGTTAAAATGCAGCAGGTAATAAATAACGGTGACATTTCAACGATTTAAAATATGCATCAATGAACCGTAACAATTATGCGATTTCCAAGAATTCTACCATTTCTTTCTTTTATCAAGAATCTTTAGACTCTTGACAAGCCTTTACAATTTTTGGTAATCCAAAGTTCGAAATTTTTCACCATTTTTCATTTTTGCTTTACATTCTTAGAAAAATGTCGAAAGATTGGTTCCAAGAATCGGTAAAAAAATTTGCAAATTTCCATGAATTTTTTTTAAACCTACAACGTCCTAAGGAACCGTTTTCAAACTTTCGACTCTGCAAAAATTCTGCATTCGACGTTACTTAGTTCTCTCTAAGATCGATGCAGAAGCAGTTTCATCAATCAGGCCTCAATGCTTCACAAGTATACACGATGACACACGAACTTTTTTATCTCTATCATTATATCATGGGCGCAAACTCCAACGAGCTATAAGAAGCGGAAAGTTATAAAAAGCGTCAAAAGATTCTTTTGAACGTATTTGACGTGTAATCACGCTGATAGAAGGTTCGCCAAAGACAGAGACTAATCGTTCACATACGATCCAATAATTACTTCATTATATAAAGATAATTTAAATGTGCTACTAAACAGTGTGTGCACCGAGAACATTTTTATCTGTAAAAGAATAAAAGGTTAGTGTTTTTAACATAATTTAATTGTTTAACGTGTTAAGTATTTAACGTAATTTAAGAGTGAAAGAAGTGATAGTAAACTTAAAGAAGGTAGAAAAATTATATTTTACCTTGAAGTTATGCTTAGAATTTTTCGATTAAAAATCACACTAGCGACTAGCCTTTGGCTACTTCTAGTCGTGATACGAATGCATTATCTACGGGAGTTTCTTGATTTACACGAGTCACAAAATATGCGGATCCTTATTTCTGTAACGACCATCATTCTCACCACCTCGCCACTAGATGGATTCCGATTTCGAGGAATTTCTCGCAAATCCTCGGAAAACCTCCAAATCTTATATATATATATAATTTCCCGTCCTTCTAATAGTATACCAGTCTAAGAGCCTGCTAGAGCGACTTTTGCCTTGACCTTCGAAGGTGACGAACGTACAGCCCGATCCTCCTGCGCAGTCGGAGTCCTTAACCGTAAACTCTCATACCTGTGTTCGACAGTGAAAACACGTTCCATAGTGCATTAATAAAACACCATCAAGATGACAACAACATATCAAATAAACAAGAGAGTGATCTCTTGCAGACAGTGGAGAATAAACTAACAAAACCATCAAGGAGTAATGTAATTATTGAGAAAAACGACTGTTGCGTCCCGAACACTGCAACTCGCTCGTGGAGTTTCATGGGGTTGTAAGGCCCGCTACGATGATGCTGCAATGTTCCTGGGATGCGGCCTACTCTAACTTGATAGAAGTAGACTTAGTTAGTGTTGAAGTGCAAGGAGTTCTATAGTAGTAGATAGTCTCCTGCGCTGAGTGTCGGTGGGTCTCGATTGCTGATGTTGTGGTCGTGATGGAGTTCAGAGAGAATCTTGATGTGGTCGTGATGGAGGTTTTACGGAGAATCTTCTTGTGAATACCTTGTCGGTAGTTTTATAAGGATCGACTGTCTTCTCATTGGTTGGTATGATATTTTAAAAATTCAGAAACCACTGACAAACTTAACCGTTTGAGTGCCATCGTGCTTCTATTTTGTGTCCCAAAGTGCCAGTGTTCTGGGCTGCGAAGCAGACAATCATAGCACGCTCGGTTTTTGTCGATGCGTGACTTTACGATTACCATTCAGTAAGTTAACCACTTGCGCTATAAAGACGTGCCACGCACGTCGAGATGCTTTTGTTCCAAAGCCGCCAGCGACGTGTATACCACGTCAATGTAACGCCTTGCCGCATGTTATATTGTAGAGCGTGGCACGGCAACCGAAAGTTAAATCGTAGCGCAAGTGGTTAAGACAAAATTGGAGTAATATTACAGTTTGTACACGTACTCGTTTTTATTCTTACAAACAACCATTACTTTTAGATAAGGAAACTTTTTTTTGATGATAAGGAAGAATTTTAATTTGAGTTTAACATATATGGATGCAGATGTTATTAAAATTTCCAGAAATGCTTATCAAAGCATAAAAAATGTAATAAAACATTGAAATAATATTTTTATATGATTTAAACACACTAATGTCACTAGTTATGCTCAGAATACTAAACTGAAAGAATTAATTCGCGCTCCTTGGCATTTTTCGACACGGAATATGACAAGCGCTATCGCGCCGCTTGGCAATTTTCGATTGGGAAACAATAAAGACCCGTGGCACTCAAACGGTTTTAATAGTAAAAAAAAAATCGTTAGTATCGCCACGGAAATTGACAAACATGCCGCTAATGAAGAAAGTAGCCAGTACCACTGCAACAAAGGAAGCAAGTGAGAAACCTGCAGCCCTGCAATACGATGAGCTGCTAAAAATTATTGATGAATTAAACAAGACAGTAGAACTGCTCTCGAAACAGCTTGAAGAAGAGAGAGAGCGAAGAACGCAACAACGGGGGAAAAAATCCCCGTGCTACGTCATCCAGCCACGCTGAGCCATCGAGCCAGGTAGCCAAGACGAAAGTAAACCCTGCAGCCCCAAAAAGCAACACGACATCGATCGAAGACAGGGAGCAGTGGACGAAAGTCGGCCCAAACAAGAGATCTAGCCCGAGCCCAGCTTACGAGCAGCGACCAGCAGCAGCATCAGCCACCACCAGTAGCCCCAAAGGACGGAAGTACCACCCCCACCATTGGCGAAAAAAATAAAAAGGACCACCGTCGTCGAGCAACAAAGTCAACTATAGGGGTCCGGTAATCAGGTAAGAAGCGCGAGGCCTCCTCCTATTACCATACTTGACACGCCGTGCAAAACGATAGGAATCGTTTCGCAGGTAACACAAGACTTTTATACAAACAAAATTAGCAATAGCAAACACCTTCTGCATCTGAACTCTATCACCGCGCATAAAACAGTATGTGATCTGCTAAAAAGACACAACGTAAAATTTTTCACCTAAAGGCACTAGAAATACATCAATATTACTGAAAAACCTAGATGGCCTAGAATTCTGTACAGTAAAAAGATTCGAGACGAGGAAATCAATCCTTGAAGGGAAAAAGTTCCCAATTTATACAGTACAGCTGTCTCCTGACAGCAAAACGGATAATTTAAAACAGATCAAAATCGTACTCCATTCCCTTATTCAATGGGAGAAAATAATAAAGATCGTGTTCAGTGTAAGAGGTGCCAAAGGATAGGCCACGTTGCCCTCGATTGTAACCTAGAGTATAGATGCGTAAAATGCAACCTACAACCCAAGCCAGGAGAGTGCTCTGGAAGCTGCCTCCTACAGGGGATGCCCGAAGCTCCAGGAATTGAAACAAATGATAGAGGAACGAAACCAACACACAAAAATCGAAAAGTACAGAAAGCAACAATTAATCAACAAAACGATAAACCCAAACATTTGTTACAACGCGATACTCTCAGGTTGACAAACAACACACACAGAGACTCACACTACCCCCAATGTAGAATCCAACAAACCCGTGCAAAGTGACTCATCGAACGCATCTAACTCGACACTATTAACCCTCTGCAATCAAGAGGCGCCCTTCAGTCGCCATTTGATAAAATTTCGAAGCTCGATGTTCATAAATATGTCAAATTTTAAATAATGTAACGATGTGCGAGGTATCGAAATCAAATAATTCTACGTGTTAATTATCATACGATTTCTTATTCCTACTGAGAAAAATATCGTCAGCTTTCTAACAGAAAATCTTTGAAGTCCTATCCTTCTTTGGCGAAAAAATCGTCGAGTGCAAAGGGTTAACGGAAATTAGACAAATGTCAAACTCCATAAGCCTACAGATCGCGTGAATAGCGGAAACCGTAGAAATAAATTCCAACAAAATTAACTTTGTCACTGAATCTCTCGGAACAGACTTTTAACCACTTGCGCTAGAAAGACGTGCCACGCACGTCGTAATGCTTTTGTCGCAGAATCGCCAACGACGTGGTATACACGTCGTCAGGCAATTGTCACAGAAGCACTGCGGACCGTTCTGACACACGCATCCGTGAATTTCTTGCTAGCGCAAATGTAATGGATACCCCCGAGAGAACAGCACATACGCACAGCGCCAACAAACTCGTGTTAAAACGACTAAACATTATCGAAATAAACGTAAATTCTATCATAACGAATGAAAGACGCGCCACTCTCCTGGATTGTCTGAACGTCCATAAACCGGATATAGCGTTACTCTGCGAAACGAAAGTTAATCCTAGACACAGAATTGTATTCGAAAATGACAATTTTGTTAGAACAGATAGATTTAATGCGAAACAAGCTGGTGGAACGGGAATCGTCATGCGCAAGGATATTAAATTCAGACACATTTGCTTAGACCACGAAACGACAAACAAAAGCCTCGAATCGACAGTTATAGAAATAAAGCTTCAAGGCGCAGCTAAGCTATTCGTGATCGCAGGGTACGCAGCGAACAATTGTAAGAAAGAATTTATAGTAGAGCTTAAATCGCTATTCAGGCAGCTCGAATTATATAGAGCTAATAATTACCAACTATCCGGTGACCTGAACTCGAAGCACCATTCCTGGGGTAACGCTATAAACAATAGCAGAAGGATATCGCTGAACCGGTGGACCCTCGAAAACCATATCCCTTACAGACTCTCCATCCATAGGACAACAATACCATCATACCCAAAAAGTAAAGCATTCATAGATCTTCGCTTAGCGGATAACCGCATTAAATTCCATAACACACCTAGCTACAACACCCTAGACTCATTCGAATATGATAGCGACCATCGAGCAATATTAATAGAAATATCTATACCTTCGATGGAAATGCTAGAGATAGACGAATTAGTAACATCGGACAGACACAACTTCCACAAAGCCGACTGGACGAAATTCGCAAAATTCCTAACGAAGACTCACGTCCCAGACATACCAAATGACAGAAATTTAACACTAGAACTACCAACCCAGTGAAAATGACTGGTCCCAGAATTTTCCTTTTTGCAATCACCGAACACATACACCTGCTTTAAGAATAAAATTCGTATCAACCCATATTAAGAAAGAACTGTAATCGATATATTCACTCATATTCATCGTATCGCTGAAATTACTATAATCTGTGCACGTTATAGTTAGGTACCCATTAAAGATCGGTAGTTCTAGTGTTAAACTCATAGAAAAGAACTTTCCGCCGCACCCCGTCAAAATGATCTGGAACATGCTACATGGCAAAGAATTTATCGTCACGGAAGACTATTGCTCGTCCACGAAAACCTTTGCGATTAGAAATGGCTTGCAACGAGGCACCATCAATTCCCTCATCTTGTTTAGCATATACATAAGCGACTTACTCCGCATGTACGACCTAAATAACGAACCCGACAAATTCGTAGTAGCTTTCACCGACAACTTACTAATTTATATGAAAAACAGTAGACCCTCGAAATTAAAAACACGACTATAGGAAACCTTTGAAAAAATACAGGATTACTTCCACACGTGGAAGTTGAAAATTAACATCGATAAATATGAAACCATTCTATTCCGGCCGTACATATCACGGATCTCGAACGCGAACTACGACGTACGGATGCATTCGAAACACTCAACTGTACGATGGAAAAGACGATCGGGTTAAAATCGTGAATAAAAATGTGGTTCGTTACTTAGGTGTACATGTGGACTTTGAATTCAATTTTATCAATCATGTCCAAACGCAAATCGAGAAAGCTCAAAGAGCATTCGCCAAGCACAAACGGCTGGTTTACTCAAAATTGCTCACAATCAGTGCAAAAACAAAGATTATTTGTTACAAAACACTTGTAAGACCGATACTGACATATGGCTGCCCGATATGGTTTAACGCAACGGCAAGTACAATAGAGAAACTAAGGATTTTCGTGAGAAAATGCCTCAGAGCTTGTCTAGGCAAATTCCAGACTCCGGAGTCAAATTACACTAAACTAATCAGTAACCATAGATTGTACGAGCTCGCGGAAATAGTTAGAATAGACCTATTCATGCTGAAATTGATTCGCAATCACTGGGTGAACATTAAAACCATAAAAAGCAATTGCCTAATAAACAGTTCTACATATCCAAATCCAGAATATTTTTAAAAGACCCGACACAGAGGCTTTCGTATATCTTGATGGTCATGGGTACATTCAGAATAGCGATAATGTACCCCTGATCTATCACGTGACTAGGAAAGCAGGCAACATGGCAATTTTGTATAACACAGACGACACTCGTGACAACTTAACAAAAATCAATACGAAATTATCGAAAATAGATCGGGAAGATCCGCATCGTAAGAACCTTAAAAAATATTGGTGGCTCGATACGCGATCATTGTTAAAAAAGAAAACATTGTAAACAATCATGTACCAATAAACAAATAAAACCGAACACTCAATCCTAATTAATATAGTGGCTAGTATTCCAGGGACCGATCATCTTCGTTTTGTCTTTCATAATTTTTCAGACCGATTGTACTTATAAGAATTGTTCAAAGTAATCTTCTAATAAATAAAATTTATATATCCACCCCACCCCCTCCTCCCTCTCCTCCTTCTCCTCGCTCTAATGTTTTTTTAAGCATTTATTTATTTATTTATTTATCTAGTCGCCCCTTCCACTTACCCACTCACAAACAAAAGTTGTATAGTTTTCGCGCCTTTCTATACATAGGTATACACGCGTCCTTCTATAACTCTTAAGTATATATTATCACATAGCGATAAGCGCGATAGTTTAAGTTTAACGCTAAGATCCCGAGTGCTTCATGTTGGAGTCATCGATCTCATAGTCTAAGTCATCATTTGCAACCTTTTTGTACGTTTTGGTTTTCCTGCATGTATAATTTTGCATATATATCTGGTGTGATAAATGTATGTTAAGAAAAATAGAGCCTGTTAGGGTAGACTTACCGATGAGTCCGCTAGCAAGCCCGGGGCAAAACGCATCCCTTTCTTTTCCTACCGTCCCTTCTAGCTACGCCGCCACCGAGGGATACCTACGATCAGCTTGACATCAACCGACTAGGGGGAAGACCCCCACATTTCTTTCATTTCATATGCAAACCATTACGCAAACGCTTTTAACAGATAAAACAATTGTTGCGCAGCTTATGTCATCCTAGATATATGAAAATAATACTAACCTGCAAGTTCAAAAGTTATTTTTACAAATGTAGTAAAATTTTATGTACGCTTATAATTTTTAGGAAATTTATTCTTGTATTAACTCCTACGGCTACAAATCATCAGAATTAAGAAGTTAGGCTGAAAAATATGAACCACGTAAAAATTAATGTGGAATCGTCAATAATGTGCTATGATAATTCTTATGGTAGGAATTTTATGCAAAAATATAATGCACTGCATCTTACTTGCATGTTAAAGTGCACCATTTTGAAACATACAATTTTTAATATAGTTATAAGTTCAGAATATTTGGCACAGAAAAATATTGATTTCATTATGCTTCATTAAATTACTACATTGCAAAGTTTGACTTTCGCGCGCAAATAACCGCGGGTAAATGTACTCATGATTCTATCCGATTACTGTCTATTTTGTCATAATTGCTTAAATCTATTATATCATGATAAAATAATAACAATTTTAGTAATATAGTTCTATATTGCCACTCACACATATCGAAGAAAATTTGATGCTGACAGATCTATCCACGATTAATGAAAATCTGAAATCAAGTTATAACAATTTTTTATATCTTCATTTAACCATGTAGAATTAATTAGACTTTCCATGAAACGACTACCAATTGAAACATATAATTTATAAAAATTGCACATATTTAAATTAATATAACATATTGATAAAATATCTATTCAATTCATTATGAATATCTTACAGTTTTATACAATTTTAAGTATTCAATGCTGATCACTAATATAAAACCACAAAAATAAAAATGAACCACCAACACGCTATTGTTCATGATTCTGGGCTAATGATAGACGATACACTGATGCTGCATTAAAATGAATATAGTGCTGACATCTATAAAGAAATATCAAATATGTCTTCCTTATCGATTCAGTTGTATATACAGAATAAATTACTTTGTCACGGGACTGTTTTTTGTAATGATAAGCGCATCTTTTCAGTTTTATTCCATCAAACTTTAAGGAACGAAGCACATGTACGTATAGCTATAGTTAAATTGATGAAAATAATTTTAATTTTATGTTGTTTTTACTGTCGTTCAATCACACTGTTTTAGGTTTAATTGTTAAAAAAGGAATGCAATTTTCATTGATGCGTTAATAAATTATTTGATTTTGATTTCATTAATCCTTAATAAATAACAGTTTTAGAGGTTTGAAACAATCTAGTGACACTATTATTGAAATATTCATGGTGGCTACTAATAATATTTTATTTCGAAGTAGATACATTAATAAAGTAGAAGCACTTAATAAGTTGTGCGTCGTATTTTATTGCTTTATTTGTTAGCAATGACACCTTAATATTTATGCAAAAACTTAATTGCTTTTATTCCGTATTATTGTGGAATTGTTATATCTAATTTGCATTCATTAGCATACAAATGAATATACTTTTCGTTTGTTCCATAAATTAAATATTTTTTTCACCATGTCATTATCTAATTAATTTCTTTTTTTTCTCTTTAAATCGATTCACACGATTAATTTTTCAGACCGCTTTTATAGTTAATTGTGTGCATATGAATGATAAGGAAGTGAAATTGTGCTATACTGTATATAATAAATATTTTTAAATATATTACTGTACTATAATGTACTTATAAAAACAAAATTCTTCATATGTATCCTTTAGCATTTGTATTTACAGAAGTTCATTTTACATTTATATATATTTATTTCTATATATGAAGTTGATAAAATTAATAACAAAATAAAACAAACACATCAGCTTAAATATTCAAGATAACTGTTACTCATTTATGTATTCTAATTCTAGCACAATCTAATAAGAAAATGATGACAGATAATCCAAGTGTAAGTATATTATTTTATTAACAATTAAAAATTTATGTATTCAAAATTAAAACATATTTTTTTTTACGTATTTATATCTATAATTTCTTTATAGTTGATTGAACGCACAAGAAATATATTTCTTAGTGGTAAAACAAAACCACTAGAATGGAGAATAAAACAACTAAAACAAGCACAACTTATGCTAAAAGAATGTAAACAGGAAATTTTGTCTGCACTTATTTCAGATTTACGCAAGGTTTGTACAATAACTAATGTTAAAACCTTATATTATTTATCTTATATATGTAAACATGTAATGCATTCTTTTTTTTAGAGTAAATTTGAATCTGTTGCAATGGAACTACAATTAACAGAAGGAGAGATCAAGCATATTCTTATGAACCTCAAGGAGTGGGTAACTGATGAAAAGGTATCTTTAATATTATCTTTTATATATAACTACCTAATTTAAATAAATAAATATAAAAGACAATTGTTTGCATCTTTTAGCCACCAAAATCAATTATTAATTTACTTGACAAGGTCAAAATTAGAAAAGATCCATATGGCGTGGTTCTCATTATAGGACCATGGAATTATCCTATTCAATTATGTATAATTCCGTTACTAGGTGCAATAGCTGCTGGGAATTGTGTTATTCTTAAACCATCAGAACTATCTTCTGCCACAGCAAAGGTTCTCGCAAAAATTATTCCAAAATATTTGGATGAAGTATGTGTCTTAAACGAATTTCAACAAGAAATTAAGTTAAAGATAATTGCAAAAAATATAGTCATTCCGCATTTGTATTTTAAAATAATTTTTCATATTTCAGGACTGTATTCATGTAGTATTGGGAGGTGTTCCTGAAACCACAGAATTACTCAAACACAGATTTGATTACATTTTTTATACAGGTTCGGCTACAGTCGGAAAAATTATTCGTGATGCGGCAAATAAATATCTGACACCAGTTACATTAGAACTGGGCGGTAAAAGGTAAAAAAAAATATATTTATTAATTTCATTTTCTACTTTTTATCATGTAAAAAGTATAATTTATATAATAATATAATAATTTATAGCCCTGTATATATAGATAATACAACGAATATTGATATGACGGTGAAAAGAGTACTTTGGGGTAAATGTATTAATGTTGGTCAAACTTGTATCGCACCCGATTACGTACTTTGCTCTCAAGAAGTCCAAAGTAAATTTATAAAAAAAGCAGAAGAGATTCTGAAAGAATGGTATGGTGATAATCCCAAAGAAAGTCCAGATTTATCGCGAATAATTAATGAAAATCATTATCAGTAAGCAAAATTTTATATACATATCTTATAATTTTATATTATCTTGTAGACCATGCGAATTTTTTACTTTTATAGGCGTCTTGTAAAATATTTAAATGATGGTAAAATAGCAATAGGCGGTATCTGTGATCCTAGCGAAAGATTTATCTCGCCTACTATACTTGTTGATGTCAAACGTACTGATCCCATAATGCAAGATGAAATATTCGGTCCAATATTACCATTCATAAATGTGAATAACGCTTATGAAGCAATTGAATTCATAAATAATGGGTAAGTTCTTCAATTAATTTTTTTCAAAAAACTTTTAGTAAAAATACAAAAGTATACCGTCACGATCCTAATCTACAATCAGAAAATTGATTACTAAAGTTATATAAATGATAAAAATTTATTGTGATATTTAAAACAAAATTTGAAATTAAAAACAAAATATAAAAATTAATTTTTTATATTTAGCGAATCCCCACTTGTACTATACATATTTTCTAAGGACAAGAGTGTTCAAGATTTATTAATAAGTCAAACTTGTAGTGGAAGTATTGGAGTGAATGATACGATAATGCAATTTTGTGGTGAGTTAGGGTATATTAGGTAATTATTGCTAGAATGCTTGTTAATATAAACATTATAGATAGTATTACTATTGAAACCCTTTGAATGTACAAATTACTACTTCTGAGTTATAATGTTCTATTTAATATTATTAATTAGATTTTTTATAAACATTTTTTAATCAAATCCTACTTTCACATATAGAAAATTACTATTTTCATTACTTGATGCTTTAATTTAACTACATTTCCAAATTTTTGCCAAAAAATTGTTCTGTATAAAATTTAATATTTTTCTGCAGCGCTATAATCTAATATGTTTAATCTTATCTTATTTATGAAGTGGAATTATTTTCAAATGAATAGAGGTGTGAGGTTTTTACTACTTCATCTTCTGAACATTGGTGGTGGATGAGAAGATTGTAAATTGTAATAGACAACTCAAAATATTTGCAGTGTACAAATGGTAGAATACATCCTTCCCAATTTGATAAATTACTAACAATTCGAAGAGTTTTACACGAATTTTCACATTAGCTAATATATAAATCCCTTTTTCCACTTTTTATAAATATTAGACCAATAAAAGGAATGATGGTTATGTGGATTCTATTGCTCTGTGTTATTATTTACTATATTCTAATTAATTTGTATTTCAATTCGTTATATATTTGAAATTTTTTATAAGTAATTTCTAACAATCTTGGAATTATGTTCAGTTGTAATAATAATATATATTAACAATAGTATGTAAAAAGTTATTACAATTATTTGGTTATATATAAAAATTTAAATAACAACTTGATTTTCCTTGAGTTATAATTTATAAATTGTTACATATTCTATACAGAGAAAAGCCATTAGCATTATACGTATTTAGCAGTGATGAAAAAACTATATCAATTGTACTTGACAATACAAGCAGTGGTAATGCTTGTATTAATGATGTACTGTTGCATGCGCAAGGTATTGAACCTTTTTTCTAATATTTGTTTCTGATTAATAGAATTAAGTAATTATCATGTATATGTTAATACAAAGCTTTTCTTTATGCATGTAAATATTTTTGCACAGATTTAAATTTACTATGTTTGCATGTGTTATGTGGTGTTTGTATAAATATTTATTTTAAAAATTTATACAATGTTGCTTTACTCATCCCTAATTAAATATCCATCATTAATTGTGTAAATTAATTGTATTATAAAAATATATATATTACATTTTTATCATATGAATATGTATCTTTCAGTTGACAATTTACCATTTGGTGGTGTTGGTTATTCTGGTATGGGAAGTTACCATGGAAAATATTCTTTTGATACATTTGTGCACAAAAGAGGCTGTCTTATCAAAGATTTCAATATGTTGGAAGAAATAGTGTCATCGTAAGCAATTCTTTACAAAATCACATAGTACATGATCTATCATATGGTTAAATTTATGAAAGAATAATTACTATTTATAATTTACAACAGATGCCGTTATCCACCATATACAGAAAAAAAGTTGTCTATATTAGAATTTCTACTAGCAAAACGACCTGGCATACCAGGAGCTAAATATATCCCATATCTTTTAGCATTTGGTTTAGGATTCCTTGTTAAATTCGGCATTTCAACTACTTTAAAGGTATATAAAGAGAGGCATATTTAAGGTATATTAAAGGTATATAAACAGAGTCATACACCTATTAACTTGCATTGATGATAATTTAAATTATTTTACATTGCCGCACAATATATGCAAACTCATACTATCTATTTGTTGAAAATCAAATTTTCTAAGTATAGAGGTGTGATTTAAATTTTTCACTTTTATTTTAATTAAAATAATTTATTTGAAAATTTATAAGTATAAAAAATAGTTGTTATTTAAAATATTTTATGTCAATTGAGCTTTGATATCATGTTAAGTTTATATATATTTTATATGTACAATTTTCTTATATCAAGCTTTGGTATAAAGATATTTACTACAATCTGAAGTTCAAACGCCGCGAAATAGTATGCACATTTATCGAATATTATAATTTATTATGTTAACGTTATACACTATTACTAAAGGCTCAATAAGAGCAATAAGAATTATATAAATCATAATTAAGTCTATATATTAATCCTAACACTTAAGTAACAAAAAATACTTTTTCAGGTTCAAGAAGAAAATTAATAATGGTTTCATAATTCTATAATAAAATCTTAATAAATGTTATCGATTACACATTTTATAACGTTATTTATATACAATTTTTATAATTAGATCTCTCTTATTTTTATACACAATATTATTATTGAACAATAACATATTAGTTTAGTCTTTCTATTTTAGTGTAAAATAGATCGTTTTATTGTCATGTATTGATATGTCTAACATATTTCCTTGGAACAAGTAAGAATTTTCAAATGTTAAAATTACTAAATTCACTTTTTGCAAAAGTTTGACTGTGAAACTATATATTTAGACATATATAATACCAAGTTTAGAAAATCATTACTCTAATATTCTTAATATTATATATAAATATATTATTAATATTGTTAATATTATATATTAATAATACAGAATAGATTATCTTTATTAAAAGGAATTATCTTTAAAAAGAAACATATTTTCATACCACGAATTTTTGTTAAATATTTTACAACTAATTTCAATTTTTGTAACGTAACATGTATTTTCTTAAAATTGCAATAAAACTTATTAAAGTGCATATATTATCCACAATGATGAAATGTGCAAACTTTTTGCCATATTATTTAAATATGTGAAAAACGTGAACATTTCATTGTTTTTATTAAAATTATGTATAGTTTGGTAAATAACAATTGTTGTATACTTTTTATAACAAAATATTGTGAATTAATAAATTATATATAAAACGATTTTGGCCTTTAATAAATATTGATATAATGTGAACAAAAATCCTTTGAAGAAAAAGTACTTTTCTCAGTATGATAGTTTAGTTATTTTTTTATGTAGCAATTAACATAAAAAAATAAGTATGTACTATTAACTTTGTAATATATACAATTACAATTTTAAACAAACATGGACAATATGGTAAAAAAGATGTTCATGCATGAAAAAATGTTTTCATATATTTATTGATAATAAAGTTTTTAGTGTACATCACATATATTATCAAAGATTTATTCATGTGTGTAATTAACATATTTTTGAAAATACTAGCTTTGTTTTTGTTTAGAGTATGATATATTATATACATATTATGTAATGTTTATCAAAGATTCAAATTCAGTATCAGCATCTTAAATATTTATGAATAATATGTTCAATATGGTATCAAAGTACTTTTTCGTATCTTATTGACCATGACAGTCATCTGCATAAATACATTTATCAACCAAAAGATTAGCATAAGTCACAGTTCAATTTCTTACCACTGAATTATTGCTTCCAGGTAACTGACATCTCTCCTCCTTGAGTGCTATCACGTTGTGGGCTCTAACAGTATTAAAAAAAGAAAAAAAAGAGATAAGAATCTTCAAAAATTCTAGGATTTACAAAATTTTTTATGATATTACTAAATCTAAAAGTAATAAATATTCTTACCTTAACTTGAATTTGTTGTTTAAGCATTGCAGCCCTTAAAATTAACATACGTGTACGCCTTTGATATTCTTTCCCAACGCTCATAGATTTTTCAAACGTCGTACTACGTTGATCGACGTCTTTTGCATAAAGAATCTATATGTACACAATAAATTAAATAAAACGATAATTCCCTATAAAAATATTAAATAGTAACAATAATTACTTTATTATGAGAATCTATACGAGCTTGTATTTGACCATTGAGAATTAATTGCATAAGCTCATCTTCCAATTCAGAGACTGTCCTATTAAAAGCAGTTGCCATGCGTCTCATGTCTGCACTTAAGTATGGACTAAAATATTGTATCAGTGCTCTATCTCGAATTTGTGTGTATAATGCGTTAACATGTGGTGCTATATACATATCCAGAAGTATATTATCCTTAATCTCGTCTAGTAATTTTAAGCAAGATGCGTATTTTGATTCATAAAATTTGAAGATAATATCTCTTAATTGTGGTTCCAATTCTAAAAACAATTTAAAGGAACTACTAAAAATAACTTGTTTCTGTAACTCATGCCTATCAAATGTAGCTAAAGCACAAAGTCCCCCATATAAAGCAACATTGCTAGGGGATAACAATTCAGGGCAATCACAATGATCCAATGATGCTTGTAAAAAATGCCTGGCAGCCATCTTGTATTTTCTGGTTGCTAAATCTGCTAAACCAGCTGCAACTTTTAATTTTGTAGCTATAGCCTGACTGTTGTCTTTACCATGAGCATCACAAAAATCTGGTGTACTTTCTGCTTTTGTTACATAGCTCAGTACATGAGCCCAATTTTGTAAATAAACAGAAACTTTTAGAACATTTAGACACATATTAACAATATGTTTCCCACTGGTACAATAATCTCTTGCTCTGGAATAACATTTTAAGGCATGAACAAGATCTCCACAATCTAGATAATGATCTCCTAAATCATCATGACCTCTTCTGATACTTTCTTTAATTGAATTACTTCTATAATTCTTAAGATCTGTATCAAATTTCTCTAGTTTTAAAGCAGCCTTTTTGGAACGTGATTCAACCCAAGCTTGATCTAAAGTTAACATATCCTGGGATGATTGTGCTGCAACATCTGGCAATCCAAGTGTGTCTACAGCTTGCACTAATTTTTTGTGCAATATAACATACAAAGAGACATTATATGTTGTCATTACATATGATATAGCCATTTTCAATGCCTCTATCCTTAACACTGGACAATGATCGGCTATGTATATAAGCCTATAGAGTTTAGCAAGACCAGTGTAGCTATTGGCATAAACTTCCAAGTCCTGGAAAAATTAAAATAAAAAATTGCAAAACGTAGAATCAAATGATTCTGGAAAAAATGATATGTACCAATGTTGGATTTTCCACGATGTATGATTCTTCTTCAGCATTGTCATTATCTTCTGTAGGAACATCGATTTGCATAGGCTCCACAACATTTTGCTATACCAAAAAATACATCATCAAATACAAAATTACATTTTATACAAAAAGATTTGTGAGTTATAATATTTTAAAAGGCGATAAAAATAATTGATGTTATTAAATAGTCATCGCAACTACAATATAAAAGAAACAACATAAAAACGAACATTTGAATTCTTCATAGTTCAGGTCTGCATGAAATATTTTACTTATATAAACAATTATTGCGTGTCGTTTTAGAAAATTACCTGAACGTCGTGAACTTGTAATGGCATGACAACGTTCTTCTTTATGTTACAGCCGAGGAACTATAAAAGAAAACAAAACCTTACGAGAACAGTATTGCAACACAGAACCGAAGTATACACATATATGATTGATGCAGTGTAGGCAACTTGCAGCAACTATAAACACTTTCCTCTATCAGAATTGTCTTCAGTCGGATTTTCAATTGTGCAAAATTACTCTGAAATTTATCGACCGGTTTTATTATTTTTAATAAATCAATGACTGTTGATATTTGATATGTAACTGTATGGTTCCATATTTTAATAAAGTTTAATGAAACCAAATACTTTGATCTAGAACTATGGTGTATAAAATTATAAATAATTATTATTATTTTACTTTATACGAATAATGTTGATAACTACTATATTTTATTCTTTTTAATATAATTATATAATGAATGAACAATGAAAATTGCATTTGCATATGAAACTTTATGTAAAAAAATATACTTTCGATGCATTATTAAACGTTTTCGCATAATGGCAAATTTATTTGCAGTCTCAAGTTTTAAATACTTACTATTTAACATATTGATTAATCATGACGTAAAACTATCTTTCTATCTTCTATTTGATCGGATTGAATATGTTACAGGATATATGAAATTATAAAAAATTTTTTAACTCGTTAGAAACATATAATTGAATTCATGATAACATTTACAGCGATAGGAATAATAGTTTGAGATACTCCAAAATTTAATCAAAATATATATTATAATATTTTTAATGCTAAACAAATAATTTTTTTTTATGATAATTAATTTGCGTCTATTTTATCCTACATTCTTTATAAATGAAAAATGTATTTTGCGTTCACGCAATGCTAATCACTCTTATTATTTTCTGTTCCGATTATATGAGCTCGTGAAAAGTAATCATCGTTACGGGTGATTAAATACATTATTTGCATCAAACAAATTGCAAATTCATGTCGGTCTGATATTTTGGTAATGTGAAAACACACCTTTGGACATTCTAAGTATTTCACGAGGAACGCAGAAAGTGTGGTCGATACGATCGAATGGTAACGATTAAAATGAAACGTAGCTAAGCTACCTGATTTCACAAGACGCGTGATGTCTGTCTAGTAGTCGTGTCCAATATGGCGTGTGTATTGTGAATTGCATTAACGTGCAGGTAAGATTTGATTGAATTTTTAACAATTTACATAGAAAATATAAATTAAAAAATTACTATTAGTGTACCTTAAAATCTTAACTTTTCGAGTTTCTGTGTATTTTTCTTCACAGACCATATAATAAAGTATTAACAAAGCATTTTGCTTAAAATATGTGAACTTTGTCAACCTTTGCACCTTCAAGGTCCGTTTGTTGAGGTGCATTTATGATGACAGGTGTGTCGTGTGGAAAACGTGTATCTTTAATAAAATTATTTTGTGAAAAATCACAATTTTGCGTGAAACAAAAAAAAGACTTGTTATTAAAGGAACTTTACTACGCGATAACATCCACCGTTGGCAACTATTATTCGCGTCTGAATAGAACACCTCTATAATCGAGAAAATTGGAGCAGAAGTTACAAAGGCAAATTATAATTCATATACAGAAATTTTTTATATGTTATGTAAATTGTTTGTTAAATTTGAGATTGAAAAGGATTAATGATGTTTTTGTAACAATATGTGACAAGTATTTTGACACTCTGTTAATCATGTCATAGAAATGGAGCACATACTATAAAACTTTTATTTTTGTTACATTTAATTATATGATTTTACTTACTTTATGATAAAGATTATATAAAATAAATTACTAATACAGTACCATATTATAAATAAATATTACTGTATCAAAACATTTGGGTGCCCCCAGCTGATTGATAACTTAATCACTTTTGGAAGTCTTTTTTTTTTTAATACTGCAATTTTTTATAACTTAATACTCTTAGAAGGCAGTGTTTAAACTTACTTTTTAGTATAATTGCATAAATAAATAAATAATTTTATAAATATTATAAAAAATACTTAATTTTGTTTCTACAGGTTCTGCTCCTGCTTCTAGTGCAATTATTTTTGTGAATAAAAGGAATGAGATAAATATTACAAATCTGTAGTAAAACAATGTACAATGAACTACAGTGGGAATATGCCAGATTGGCACCAATATAATGCCTCGCAAACAAATGAAGTTACACCATCTGCACAAAATGTGAATTCTGGTCATCTTGCATTCATTCCTGGTGTCAGTCCACCAACATTAAATGCAATTAGCCTTAACTCAGAGGGTTTAAATAAACATCAGAATGATACAAGTTATAATCCAAGGAACTTTCAATCTTTTAACAATGTCACAAATGGTTCAACAATTCCAAACAACAGCCCTCTTGCATCTATGGTGCAAATGCAGAACTGCATTGGTCATTATGGTTCTCAGAACACAAGAAATCCTATGTTAGATAACATAAATGCTTCTGTAGATCCTAGAAGTGCCACAATAGGAAACATAAACGATGAGATGGGATATAGAAGCAACCAGGTGCCTTTTAATGGACCTGTTGGTCATCTAAATGGACCAAATTGTAATTTAAATACACCATCTGGACCTAGAACAGGGCGTGGACCTATCCCTGGAGCTAGAACCAATTCAGGATCAGGACTTGGAACTAATCCTAGCACTGGAACTGGTCCAATATTTGGGCCTGGTCCTAGACATGGACCTGTATCGGGACATGGATCAGGCTCTGGACCTGGAAATATGGGACCAAGAAACACTAATATTGGTTCATTACAACCTCCTGGAAAACCTGGACCATCTTCATCATATATGCCTTGCAAGAGTTTGTGCTGTAATTCAGATCCTAACATTGGTTATCAGCAGTGGGAAAAATATGGATCCTACCAACAAAATAATGATTCATACAGGGATAATGTACACCCATCTAGCTATCAAATGGAAAATAGACATTTTGGAAATAGCTGTAATTTTAGAAAAGATAATTTAGATGGTAAAGAAGTAATGGGTTCCGTATTACCCAATGCATCGTCCGTAGATCATAGAAGAAATTTCGCGGACTATAAATATCATAAAGATCACTTAGTGCATAGAAATTACTCCTCTTCAGGAATGTTTCACAATTACTCTATGCAAAGTTATAATTATTCCGCAGATCATCAGAAATATACTTATCCTATGAAAGAACACACAAAAACTAATAACCTGAATATGTCAAATTCGGGAATTCTTAAACACCAAGAGCAAAATTTTATTGCTCAACAAAAATTTAACAATAAACAATATCAATATCAAAATGGAAACATGCTACCTAAAGGGGTACCTACTTTAAATGTAAATGCGAATATGGCATCATCTTCTCAAAATCCATACTTTAATTCCCAATTTCAAAGAAACATTTCTACAGAAATGTCTCACGAATGTCAAGAAACCACCGATAATACAGCAATGATAAACAGAATGCAGGGTACCTTTATGCACAGCTCTCCTCCACAACATCAAATGTATCAACATAAAATAGCAATGCAAAAATTCTCGATAGAAAATCACCTTAGAGAACTGAGTAGAATACCTGGATACCAGTCTCATCCCAAATATAAAGAATGTGTTCTCAGATATAGAGAAGTATTAAAATTACAACAATCGTCCGGTTACCAAAATCCAGTTCAACAAACACCACGTGTCGCAACACCCGTGAACACCACAGTACTGCCCATTAATTTGCAATTCGATCAAAATGGTATGTTAATAAATTCTAGTTATCTACCTGATAATTTTCCTAAACTTCAACATACACCAAATGTAGAACAAGTGCCACAAAACATAGACAAGCAAAGTAAAGACCAAGATATTGCTATGGTTAACGAAAAATGCCAACAATCCCAACAATCAGAGCAATTAATGATTCCTCGGCAAAATGAACATGTTCCTTCTTCTTGTGCAGAAACGTTTCAGAAACAGAATCAGTTCTCGATGCACAAGGACTTCAATCAAAATCAACTGAAAGTACAAACGAACGAGAGTCACAACTTTGATACTTTAAGCACTAATACTAGCAACGAAACGATGGAGCAGAAAGCTTCGAAAGAATTTGCTAATAAACCAGATTTGGATGTTAGACAATTTCTAGCTAATTGGGATGAAACTGATGACGAAGAAGGAACAACAAACTTAACGGGTACTACTTTAAATGAAACAACTCCGGTCGTTGTGGTAAGTTATGAAAATATAGATCTATCATCGAAAACAACGCAAAGCACGGAAATCCCCCCCAAAAATAGTTTTTGTTCGAATGACGACTTAGAAAATGAGAAGAAAAGTGAAACAAATATCATAGCAACTCAAGATTGTTTGACAATATCATATTCCGCATCTGACAATTCTGAGACCGCTAAAACTTCCAAGAGGACTATTGGGGAAGGTGTCGTGAAGCCTGGAAGTATTATACATTGCATCAGCAACGGTCCTGACGAAATACCTACAATTCACATAGTTGATAACTTAGAAATAAGCAACATTTTGGGGGCACCTAATGATCAGGTTATACAGACTTTGGAGAAGCAGCAGAAAGCGATACCCTTTTTTAGAGAATCGAGTAATAATGAAACGGAAGCGATAGCTCTCGAAAATAGGCGGAAACATAACAAGAGTGATGCTCACATACTGCCTACTGACTATACTACATCTTTGGATGACGTGAATAAGAATACAAGTATCGAACATTCCAACATAACTAAAACAATTCATACGACTTCAATTTCAATGAACAATCAGGAATTAAGAGTTCTATCAACGTCGGAAAAAGATAATTTAGAAGTCAGTGATAACATGGAATTGAAGAAACAGCATAGCTTTGAAGAATCCCACAACCCTGACGATATTAGTTTACCAGATTTACCAACTTCAGAGTGTACACCAATATCTACTACACTGAACACTCCTATTCATTCGGATAGCGAAGAATCTTCGCAAAACATGGAAGATTTATCAATATCCACAAATCCGATAGAAGTAATGCAGAACAGTCCAGTAATTAGTTTCACGCAACTGAACAGTGAAGATAAAATAAAGAATAAGTTTCTTGGTACTTTGGAGCTGGAGTATCAAAAGGAGAATCGTTATAAGAGCAGCGAGGCTAGTAGTAGCCACGAGCAGAAAGTAACTTTAGACAATTTTGACTTTTCTAACGAGTCTAAAGCAAAATCGAATGAAGCAATTAAGAATAAGCAGATGAAAAGTCTCGGGACCAATACTGTGAGGAAGAAAGTGTGCCTAATAGATAGTAGGGTTTCTGATGCGTGTGGTATTTTGACGTCCATGGAATACGAATTGAAGGTTCGACAGGAGGCTATTGAAGGTGAGAAGAGTTCAAATCATGAATCTCTCAATTATACGCACGAGAGGAAACACAAAAGTATTAGAAGACCGGTAGAAGCGATGGTATCTGGGATTCAAAGCGGTGACGCCAATGATAACATCATTTCTAATGTAAATTTGAGTCTAACAGTGTCTGACGACGAGGCACAAACGTTAAAAAATGATAAAGAATTTTTCAAAAGGAAAAAAATGAAGACTTCAATTGTATCCACTAACGCTCACTGTTCAACATCCTCCGAAGTTGATCCAAATGTCAAGAAAAAAGCGAAAGAGACAACAACTTGGGAAGACAAAAGCACAGACAAATACTTAAATAGGAATTTAACTCAAAAGAAAGATGCCGATAATTTGAAACAATCAAAAGTTTCTGACGTGAGGAAGTTCGATGATTCATGCTCATCCCAAGACGGAGAGCATTCTGTGTGCCATATGACTTCTCAATGTAAACACTATTCCGTTGCTGTGATAAAGGATAATGTTACTTTAAGTGATAAGAGAACACACGGCACTACAGATAGGATCATAAGCGAGAAATCAACCGAGTTCCCATCCAAGTCGAGCAGTACCAATACCAAAGAGTTTCCTGAAGAGGCAGAAATTAAAAAGCGCGTATCTAGCAAAACAGTTTCAACGTTGCCCGAAAGCATACATTCTCAGACCTCTAAGTTACTGCAAAAGGATTTAAAAACTGTCGATGGAGACGTTAGATATACCATGGAGGAAATGCGATTCCTAAAAGAATACAGAAAGAAGAAGGAAAGATTATATCAGACTCATGATATACACAATGATAACAATAGGGATGAAAAATTAAAAGCTAAAAACCATAAGCTAGAATGTTCACAAATTTGGCAGAACAACGAAATACTAGCAGCACACAAAGTATGTTTAGAGCAAAATTCCGTATCCTCGATAGCTAATTTGAATTCAGAAAATCTGATGGCTCAGGAAGAAGCAAAGAATCACTCGTGTTCGAAGAATTTAGTAAAAAATGCTGACTTTGGGATTCAAGTTGCCAATGTAAACTTGAAAATCAAAGACAACGATATCGGTAAAGAGTTAATACTTGGAGACAATAATCAGGAACACGTGAAAGATTCTTTGGAGGGAATCAAAATCGAAATTAACGTGTCGTGTACAGATAGAAACTTAAACGGACAGGAGCAGAACAAACGATTGCTGTACGGTGATCATACCCTTTACGAAATCGACAATTCACTTTCCTATTCAAACACGCTGGATTGTCAACGTAGATTGCACACCAAGGACCAAGGAGACAGCTCAAAATTATCCGAAAGAGCTTACAGAGCGTTTGAAAAATCCGATGCAGCAGTAGATGCTATCAAAACGAACCAAGCTAAAAGCGAGGCAGAGAAATTGAGGCTATCTTTCAAGAAAGATAGGAGATCTTCGTTGGAAGCAAACGACGAAACTAGCTCTATCGTTTCTAAAGAAACGTGCGATTTAATTTCAGATAGTCAGCCTGTTAATAAATCCTTGCGCAACAGCGTATTCTCTAAGGATATATCGAAACCTGATGTAATCGAAGCTACCAATTATAGCGTTGATCACGTGGATATAATGACGACGAAAAGTGCAATATCGAATACTGCCATAATCGATGTAAATAACAAAGTTAAGGGGAAAAACAAAGTGGAAAGTGACAAAGAAGATAATTCTATACGTACAGACGATGATCAGGTGATAAAAGTACAGAAACAAGGTTCTACGAGTTTTGTAGACGTTTCAGATATATTAGAGAAAGAATTAACAAGTGTGCCTCATTCGAATACTTCTACAAAACTGCCAGAAAGCAGCCTTGTCGAGTTAAGGGCGAAGTCACTGCACAGTCTAAGCAACTTGGACTTCAAGTTCGGCAAATATTCTGGAGTGGGTTTAGACCGTGTCCATCGCGTAGGCGAGGAATTGGAAGAGGAGGGATACACGGGTAAGTGGAAGAAGCCAAAGATAGATGAGATTTTCGAAGACTGTGACATGTTCCAAAGTAGCAGCGGCTACGTAAATCCGATATTTTCAAGCATAGATAAGCTGGAGGACCTGCACACAGTTCCTGTATATACTACCAAAGATGGCAAGATATCCTACAGTCCTAATCGAAGATTTACCTATCACGAGCTAATGATGGAGGCTCGTAAACGGGAGCCTTATTCCTCCGCAAAGAAGCCCCATTACGCAGAAACTTGGAACAACTACTACAACTCAAAATTTCGTAAACTGTATAAGAAGAAGCGACACCATGGTCTTAGTGATAGGAAAAAGTACGAATATAAGGATACCAAGTATCTTTATGATAGAAAAAGGAATTATTCTGATGAATTTTGTGATAAAAGTCATGTTAAGTACAGGGATTACGTTCATAGCATTAGGAACAATAATGCGGCTTGGTCTGATTATTGTAAAATTGATAGAATATATAGCAGCAGCGATTCTGATGAACAGATGATAGATCGCAACAAGAATCGCATTACGGATTCAAATAGTTGTAAAAAAGATCAGGCTACAGCGAATAAGGTTGTAACTATTTCTAAATCACGCGACGATGAGGTTGTTGTCAACGAATTAGATATGGAATCTAAGAATAAAACAAATAATGTTATTGATGACGTAGTTAAAGATAAAAATATAAATTTAGAAGAGACGCAATCGGTTCAGACCGAAGTTCTTGATATTGAGAAAAATGACGACGATAATGCAAATACCACTAACAATTGTACGAGTAATTGTATATCTAATCAGCAGTCGGATACATTATCGAGTTCGGTACAATCGAACCACGAAGAACAAAATGTTGAAAATCTACAGGTAGATGAAAATAAAAATTTGAATAACGAAGGTACGGATCGGATTATCGATAAAGCTGAAAATAAGATTATTCCCGAAAACGAAGAGAATGTAGATTCGAAGAACGAATCGTCCATTTCAGATTTGTTGCATAAAGAATCATTATTAGACGAGGAAAACCAGGTATCTGGTTTATGCAATCTTGAGCAGGAAAGAAACGACGAAAAAATGATTTCCGAAGGGACAGATATTGAAAATCTGAAAGAAAAGATTGATACAAGCATACGTGATCTGTATGAAACGTGTGAAACTTCTATAGAAGTTGAGAATAATTTTGCAAATATAGAGTGCACGGAAGATAATAAAAATTTGGAAACTGAAGAGATCAATATATCCGAGGCTGAAATTTTTGTTACAGAGGAAATTTCAGAACTTCAGGTAGATCCCAGCGATGCACTTGATCGAGTTTCGCAAGAATTTTTGGAATTAGAAACGTCGAACGACGTATTTAGCGAAATGGTTGACGAATGTGAGAAAAATATCAGCCAAGGACATATCTTAGAATGCGAAGAAGAAATTGTGCAATTTGGCGAAGAAGTTGAAATTCCAAACGAAGATCAAAAACACGAGGAAAGCTTGAGCAACGTGGAAGAGGAAAATATTGAAGTCTCTAAACAGCAAGACGATAATAGTTCGTCGAAAGTTGATTCTCTAGCGGATCACGAGGAATCTGAATCTCCGGTAGCGTTGACTGACATAACCGATCAAGAAGACAATTCGCAACATAATTCTGTTGAAATTAACGAACGAGAACCTGATTTTAACGCGAATTCTGATCAAGTAGATAATATAATCGTCGAGAAAGAAAATTTTATTGGTTTCTCCAAAGATGAGATTCATACTGACGATAAAAATATCGACAAAGTTGTAGATGCATTAAACGAAGAAGAAATAGGAACTGTTCAGTCAAATATAGAAGAAATTGCAGCAGAGCAAGTAGTAATCGATAGTTCAAAGAACGAGGATGAATCGAGTGATTTTGCAACTGACCTGGGGAACAAAATAAACCTCGATCAAGATCCTTTGGCAGAAAAAGAAATAGCTGTTGCCAGCACGTATAGCGTTGCCGAAAATTCTGTAATTACGAATGATGAGAATAGCAAAGGTAAAATCGAAGAAGATAAACAAGAACAAAAACAGCATCTCTCCCTCGAACAAATTTCTCGTAACAGCTCGACTCTGCCGACAGATAGCAATGTAGACCTGAAAGTAATTCCCAAACTTGTCATAAAGAAAACTGACGTATCGAATTCGAAGTCAGAGTGCACACTGGATTACACAGATTCGTGTGAAAGCTACAATAGGTATGATGCGAAATTATTATCCGAAGTACGTCCAAAAATACCGAAAGTAATCATTATGAAGAATAGATCACGCTCAGTGACACCGACAGCTGAGCTTTTAGACAAAGCGAAATCCGACAAAACGCAATCTCTTCCTCCACAACATAACGATGAAAGCGTGGACATAGATAATAGTGATTTCGAATCGTACACTTTGAAATACAATAATTACGAGAATAAGGTACCAAAGGTGAGGATAAAATTGGAGGATATATCGACGAAGGATTTAAAACTATACTTGAAGCGAAAAGCTACCAAGAAAAGCGTTCCAAAGGTGAGGATCAAAAAGTTCAAGACGCAAGAAAGTAAAAGAATCGAAATGGAGGAAAGTTCAGGAACAGAAGTTACCGATTCCGACGAAGAAGATAAGAATCGTCACAAATCGATGACCAGCGATACGGAAATTGAAAAAATTCCGAAATTGAAGTTGAAAAAACAAGAAGAATCCAGTTCTTCGGTATCTGAGAAAACTAAAATGAAAGATTCGAGTATTCTTAAAGCTTCTTCGAAAAGAACCAGAAGGATGAAGGAGGAGGACTCGAAACATACTACCAAATACGACGGTACATTGATTAATGATGAATTAAAGAAGAAATTTCCGCAATGCATTATCGAGAAAGTTCCAAAAGTTATAATAAAAAGAACTCAAATCGGTACAGAATTTAAATGTGAAATTAGTAAAAGTAAAAAAAAATCAATCGCTGAAACATCCAAATGGCAACCAAAAGTAAAATTGCAAAGATTAGATATTCTGGATTATATGGTGAAAGATTTGAAACGATCAAAGATCATATTAAAGGATAAGCTTAATTCGCCTACGCGAGTAAATGATAATATGAATGACACTAGCAATGAAAATATAATTGATAATAGCGAAGTAAAATTGTGTAGGTCTAGTTCAGCGTCTAACTTATCTCCTACTAAATGCAAGCACAGGAGACTATCAGACTCCGATTACGCTAAAATGAGTAAAAAATCAATTACTGAATTCGATGAAAATTTGGGTAATACTGATAATGAAATTATTTTCACATCAAATGACAGCGAAAGTAGAAATTTTAAAAGGGAAGAGAGAAAGAAATTCTTCTCTCAAAGCAGACAAGTGTACAGTAGTCTGGATAATGAGAGCGAGAATGAAATGAGAGAAGCTATAATGAAACATTCCTTTAGAGATATTTTAAGAAACGAAGACAACGATCTATTGATTACAAACAAGGAATACTCATCATTTGAGAGCAAGGAGAACAGACCTTTTACAGAAGACAGATTTCTAGAGTCTTCTCTACATTCACATAATTATAACGATAATAATGGTTCGATAATCAAAGTCGATTCTTCCGATGAAAGTCAAACTACGATAGAAATTCTGCCAGCATCGCCAGATAGTATCGACGATGAAACAAAGGACTTTGAATTTGAGAACACTGATGAAATAAGTATGGAAGATGCAATACCAACTCAATTGGAATTGGAATTAGAGCTTATTGACAACAACAATATATGTTCTGGGATACTTGCGTCGAAAATTGACTATGCATCACATTCTAAGAGTAAATGCACTAATGATCAATCCGCAAAAACGTACTTCAGTGAATATCAGCATTCTCCACAAAACACCTTTGATCAAAACGAATATACTTCGTTGAAGAAGCAACAATTGCAAAATTCGGAGAAGGAATCAAATGATTACTTTTATTGTAATGACTTATTAGTTAAGGAAGTGTTAGCTGCTAAGGAAACGCTAAAGAAATGTTTGACTCGCCCTGACAGCGAAGATGTAGAAAAGAATAAGTCGCGACATAGAACAGTAGCTGAAAAGAAGCAAGGTTTAAGTTTCAGTTTTAACGATCTTGAAATGTCACTAGACAAATCTGAGGAAGTATGTTCCAATAGTGAGAACAATAAAGTAAATGTAAGTAGAAGATCTAAAAATTTGGAAAAGGAAGAATGCAAATCTCCCTGTAGGATGAATGCAGAAGAAGTTGAAGAAAGCTGTTTCAAACAAGATAAAATTTATTCTTTGGATTGCCCTACAGCTTCTACACATGGAGACAGCAGTGTACTTGAACCAACTACAATTTCTTTAAAGGCTTCTAAGAAATTTGATGAAATAACGACGAGTAGAATTACTAACGACCCTGATCTATCAAATAAAGACACAAACAATGCAGAAGAATTGCAGGAAGCAAAATTTAAGAAGAAAACGAGCAGTAGCAGTGGAGATCAGAAAGATAATAATAATTCAAGCAACACAAAAACGAAAGAAGACAACATGCCATTATTAGTGCCAGAATTTGCTTTAAATTTTGATTCAAGCTCGGATAGAGATAGTTCTAGATCTCCACCTGTTATAACGAATCAAGACGAAGTTGAACATGTTGTTGAAGATGCAAAATTGATAGAAAGCAAAGTGATAAGTCAAATTGAGAAAATAGAAGAAAATAAGAAACATTCCTATAAAGACTGTAAAATGACTATATCTGATATTATAACGCAATTAGCTTATCATGAAAAGGTAAAAATATTTACCACTTTCACTCAACTAAAAAGCTTTTATGTAATTATATGACAAAATTAATTTATATTACAGGCAACAATAAAACATAAGAGATACTGTAATTTATGCGAAAGATGGTTTCCTACAACTTCACGACATCGTCGACATTTAGCCGGGTATCAACATCGTTACATGGAATTGACACAACGTAAGAGCATTCACGCACTTTTTATTCTGTTTACTGGCAAACCTTGCCCAAGGCTTTTGCCAGCAAATGTGATTCGCAGTGATTGTTCCATAGGAGAATTGACGCCTTTGCAAATTGCGGTTCAGGTATGATTGTATGTTGTATACTATTCGTTTGTTGTGTAAGCAAATTCTACATACTTCATTTTACTGATTATGTTTTATAGGACGTTGCAAAATGCGTTGAATATACGCAACAAAATCATAAAACGAAAGAATGATAGTAACAAGTTGCTACAAATTACTTTGGCTGCATAGATGCATTTCCTGTGATTACCTATACTGGAACAAATAATGTGAGTACCTCTAAACAATGTACTATAATAATGATAAACACAAAATGAGTTTTGTAACTTTTAATCTCAATGGAATTGTAAATCTACAGTATGATTATTACTGTTGGTATTATATATAATCATATTATAGACCATTATATATATAGACAATGAAATTAACATTTATGAACTTTGCAAAAGAAAGCATCGTTCATTGATGTTAATTGTTAAAAGTTACTTGAAGGAAAAAAATTACTTTAAGTAGTTAGATATTTAGCCAAAGATTTTAGTAAAAGAAAAAAAAGATAAATGTATATGTTAGATTATTTATAGTTTTCGAGGACTACACAGTCTTTTATTTGTACAAATGAAAATATGAATAATATGATAAGTGAATGTGCTCGTTATAAATTTTTATTTATATCGTAAAAAGACTTATATATACAATGTATAAATAAATATATATATATGTGTGTATGTGGGGGGAAGTGGGTGTGCGCGCGCGTGTGCGTATATGATAGGTCGTATGTACATGTATGTGATGTGTGTGAATATATTATATATATATATTTATTTATTTTATTCTTGTTTAAAGAAAATGTACTCTTGCAATGTTAAACTGACCTAAAACTATATACAGTTACATTTATATGAAATTATATACTTGAAACAGGGGTAGTCAAAGTAAAAAGTTGTCTATGCTATATGTTACAAAATAAGATGAACTATGAAATGTTATAATGTCTAAAATTCATGCAATAGAAATAAATGAATTTATGTCAAATAATTCAATTTTTATAAAAGGTTTGAAAAACACATAAATTTATTAAAAATAAATTACCTTAATTATGGTATGTGATGTGATTCCAAATCAGATTTCTATTCTATTTATTTATTTTTAATAAGTACAAATTAATTCTTCATGATGAAAATACCAAGAAAAAATAATTTATTTAATTGATATAAGCAGTGACATCTCATAGTTCAATGAAAGGTTTACACATAATATAATAATAACTATTCATTCCCCTGTCACATGTTTATGTTTGAGTCATACTATTTAGATTTGTCTAATTAGTTACTGTTTATATAAATAACAAAGTTTTTAATTGTTTTTAAATGTTACAAATGTTTTTCTTATTATTCTATTGATATATGCATATTGGGAGTGGGAAAGATCCTTAAAGAACAAGTTCCTGGCTATAAAGAAGAATGGAATAAATATATTCCTTGTTAAGAGGCTAAAAAAACAGATGTTATATTAATACAGGGTTAACAGATTATATCTACAATTGTTTTATAATTTTCTTTTCCTGGTTTACATTCCAAAGAATAAAAATACAGTAAAAGTCACTTTATTGAAAGATCTAGTTTTATCATTGAATACAACCAAATAAAAGAAATATATAATATATATCTATATATAAGTCTATCAATTGTTATTCCACTTAATGTTTTGTTTCTCATAAGTTTGTTTTAACTGTTTCATATTTTATTTGCACGAGTGCCTTAAAATACACCTAACAGTATTTGTCGTATCGTGTTATGTATATCATATAAGATAAAATGAAACTATATATTTCTAATATTCTTGTATAATATATGCATAACATATGCTGCAATTATGAGAACATTAAAAACGTATCATTGCATAATAAGTATAATATAAATAATTTTTCTATAAATATGTACATCGTATTTGTTTTATAGCTTTTACAGTAATTTTAATTAAAAATCACCTAAACAGGTATATTCCTTAAACACCATTATACATATATAAAATAATCTTTATATAGTGGTATACATTAGGAAAAATGTTCTCATGATTGAAGCTCTATTATGCAGGTATTTTATGATATCATTGTGTGTTCTATGTGCCTACATTTTAAGAAACTTATATGCATCTGAAGTTCAAATATGCATAATATTACTTATATACACTTAACATAATAGGAACATACATCACTTGTAGATTGTATGAAAAAAAAAGTATAAAAATTTTTTATAAATACAAATTATTATGTGATAAAAAATTGTATCAGTTTGACTTATATGCTGTGCTTCACAGAAACTTTAGTTAATAAAAATTATTTTGAGTGTTTAATCATGGATATAGTGTATCCATACAAATTAAATACATCAAAAATATAAATGTAGCAATTTATCATATGATATTAGAATTCATTAAATTTGATCATTACAATTTCTTCATCTACATTCAACTACTTTGTTATATCAATTAAGGAACTAAAATATTCTTGAAAAATAAAATTATATCTAGCATATGCCTTATTTAGATGAACATTGGTTTTTTTTTTTTTTTTAGAAAAATTCAATTGTTGACTTCCATTAATATAAATTATTATAAGATAGCACTCATTCAAATATTTTGAGTTGAAAGAATTTATATAAAAAAGAAGTTCTTTTATTCTCTAATGTAGCAATATTATCATTTAGGTTAAAAATTAAAAATTGTTATGTATAACTTAAAAATCGATTTGTTAATCAAATTAATTATAGACATGGGTTTATGCAAACATTTATGAATTAATAAAAAAAACTTTCATGAGTCAATATTATACACCCATCTACCTTTGATTTGTAATTTTTTTATACTTTTAAATTTATATCATCACATATTGGCACCATTTAAATGGGGCAGATCTGTATAGGAAAATAAGTGCAATTGTATATTTTTACAAACTTTACATCTAATCATTCCATCAAAGAATACTAATTTTCAAAATGGTTGTTAGCTGTGCAATTCTAAATTAAATAAATCATTTATACAGTTCTGCTAGTTTTATACACAATGTGTGATTAACATAGAATAAGTGTGTGACATATATTATAATAAGTTATAAATGTGTTTTAGATGTGTAACACTTTTTTAATTTTAACTTCACTAAAATTTCAAAAGAATTTGAATGATAGTAAATATTATAATCAAAGGACATTAATAGTAACGTTCAATAATTATTAAAAATTGCTAAAACAGTTCGAAAAATACTACAAAAATGTTACATATCTAAACACTAGAACCATTCCATAGTTAGAATAAGAGGTTTAATTAATAGAAATAAGAATTGTACGAATCAATAGATTATTTTCTGTTATTGTACTTAGGCTACAGAAGTGTATGCAAAACTCTAGTTGACATATTAAAGAAACAATAAACAGTAAAAATTACCATATACAATGCCTAATTCTTAATCCATGTGTATATCCTTTAACATTTTTTCAATCGCTATTATTTTTTACGTATTCAAGTAATAAAATTATACAATTACCATGGTATATAATTTCTAACGATTATATCTATACACTTACACCATTTGTAATTAGTAACACAATTTAATACATTTAGACCGTTGCAGTTACGAACAAAAATTTAAAGATGCATTCGTTAGATAGTAGCTACCTCTCGTTGTACTTATAATAAACAAATAATTGTTATCGATAATTGATACCATAAAAATTCTTTATTAATTTATTTTTATTATATAATATGAATAAATGAATCAGTTGAAATATACAAATATTTAACAAATTAATTTTATTTATTTTCTCTATAAACATTTTAGGTATTATTTTGTTTTTTTAATAAGTTAAATGAAAACCAAATTTGATTCCTATAATTTGAAAAATTTGAAATTAGTTTCAAAAATTTCATCAAAAAATATTTATATAATTTATAATATTTCTTTTTTATTTTAAATATTTATTAGACATTTTATGATATTTCCTAACATGTTTAGATAACACTTTAATATTATTCTCGAATAGTTAACTAAATTAATCAGATAACATATAGAGTTATTGATTAAAATCGAAAGACTGAAAGCATGCGCGTTTTTCTTGCTTGTAAATGGCAAGAGGATGATGTTTTACAAAGCATTGCAAGTGTTTTTAAATTTTGTTACGATCTTGTTATGTGTATCCGGTGAAACATTAATACAGAAAAATGAAAAACGAACCGGCTTCAGAAACAATTATCAGATGTGCCTCGAGAGTTTTAAGATTCACGAAGATAAAATTATACGAACGCAGGAGTCTCGGGATATGGGAGCTAAATATTTAAAAGAATTCGATGTTAATTCTAGGAAAGAATGTTTGAAATTTTGCTGTGATACAGAAAATTGTGATGTGTTTATCTTTGAAGAAAAGGTATAGATAATTTTATACTAAATAAGTAAATAAATAATAAAGATATTTTTAATTTCTAAATCAGTCATGTTCCATTAATAACAAATTAAATTAAATATTATATAGAAACCTGGAAGTTGTTACCTTTTTCAATGTGGTCCATTGCATGACTTTAAATGTAAATTCACCAATCATGCTAATTATAGTAGCGCAGTGCGTACCAATTATAATACACAAAGCAATTCACAATTAGAGAAAGAAATTAGGATTTCTCAACAAGAACATGAACTGAAATCTCTCAGGTAGGCAATTGTTATTTTGATGTTCTCACTGCTTCAATAATAAAATTTCAGTATTTCATATTTTGTTATTATGTATACATTATATAGAAAATTGGCAGATCCAGCATCAGTTGAATATTCTTTCACAGAAACTCCTGTGAAATTGATTGCAACTTTAGCACCAAAATTATCATTAACAACCTCTTCACCTATTAAACCAGGTAGATACAACTTTAACTTTTATATTTATTATTCTATAAAGCAAAAGAATATTAATAAATTTTTTAGCTTGTAGTAGGAATCAATACGAATGCCGCTCATCTGGAGATTGTATAGCAGTATATAATGTATGTGATGGTATACCACAATGTGCAGATGGATCTGATGAGGCAGCGGACCTTGTATGTCCTACAGAAAAACCAACGATTTCCCCTTCTGTAATCCAAGGACCACAATCAATATTACCTGCAGATATTATGAAATATCAACAAATGGTTGATCAACATAAAGCCCTTGGTCCATTGTATGCTCGTGTTCCAGAAGTTAATCCATGGGAACTGCCTAATTTATCTCACCAAATGATTCCACAACAGCCATTTCTATATCCAGCCCAACAAATGGAAGTATCTCAACTGCATAAAGGTTTTGGTGTCCCTGGATATCAATGGGATTATCAACCCATGTATGATCAAAACAAGGATACTTATAACTCTTTTCATGAACAAGGCAATTTAAATCCTTATGATCGTAAGTAGTACATTTAGTAAAGTATTTCATGAATAAAATGGAAATACACTAAAGTGTTCTATTTGTAGAAGAACAATCACGATTTTTTAATCATAAGGGATTAAGTGTAATAGGGGAAAAAGAAACAGATGGGTAAGATGTTTAGTTGCAATTTAAAAAATATGAAATGTTAAAAATATTAAAATAGTTGCATTTAATTTTGTATTATTTTGAATTGTTTAGTGGTACATATTTAGATGTAAAACATCCATATACGTCACATTTTCCATCATCAAACAGGGGCATATGGCAAAGCAATCAGGTTTATCCATCTCCATCTCCAATATCAAATATGCAACAGAAGCAAATAATTGAGATAGAAAAGAATGTTGTTATTACAACAACACCTCCTTGTAATGTAGGTATATTTTACCATTATAAAATTTATCATAATACTAGTGGTATATTATTTCCTCAGACATCACACGAACAAAAAGATGTTTCACCAAGTAGTAAAGATACTGAAAAAATCAATCAGCAAGAGGATAAACATATAGTACACGAGAAAGAAATTAGTCAAAATAACAAACAAAATACACTAAAGAATGAAATTCCAAAATTCAATCATATTCAAGCAAAACAGCCGAAAGGTGTGCCATTAAATAATGCTATTTTTATTACAAAACTTGATTATGATTAATTTACTTAAATATATTTGTTTTAGAACATAAAAGTGTAATAGTTATAAAAGATCATAATAGAGATCACGGAAGAGATACGATACTTGCGGAACATTTGAAACAAGCAAATGAAAGCGAAGTTCTAAGACCAAGAGGAGCAGTTATATCATTGGCTTTAGGACTTACAATAACAGCTATTACAGCTACTTTAATTGCTTGCCGGTTACGAGTTGTGCGAAGACGTGGAAGACGACACGGTCCATATGCTCATGATGCGGATTATTTAGTAAATGGAATGTATCTTTAAGTGAGTATGAATTTCTTTAGTCAAAGGAGTTTAGTCATTTTTTCATACTATTTTAAATGATATAATAAAAAATTGTTCTGCTTTAGTACTTTGATTTTAAAACAAATTGGAAAACGGAAATATTTCGATTTGTATTTACGTAATTTTTGTTTCATCATTATATGTGCAATATATTTTGTATAAAAGTTGTAGTGAATTTGTATTGAATTTGTGAATGTGCTGTAAAATTTATATATTTACGATGAATATTAAAGATTTTATAAAATGCACTTTTAGTTAATATACATTTATCAAATTAAAAATTTAATTTATACAGTAAAATTTGATTTTTGAAACATGTTGACAATACAAAAGACAAGAAAGAAAAGATAAAAACTTTTGAATAGAATAAATTCTAATATAAAGTGCAATACAGAAACTTGTTTTATAATTTGAAAAGGTTTTGATGGATTTAATATGAAACGTTATGCGAAGGAATGCAATATAGCTTTAATTCATGTAACTTTATTTAAGAAAAAAGGAACTACCAACTTGTAACAAAACTATATTTATATATAACTTTTACAACCATATAATCCATAAAAGTATATATGATTCTTAATAATAAAATCATTGTCCTTAAGATTATAATAATTATTTATCTTCGAAAAAAATTGTTATTTTGTCTTTTTAATGTCTGAATTGCATTAAAACAGCTAGATACCAAAGTATTTGTTCAAAATATCTCTATGAAAAATTGTTTTTATTTCATGTGTATGCTCTAGACGAGGAATACATGTATATATATAAATTCAGCTGATCTATGCTATTTGATATAAAGCAAATATATAAAAATTGTTATATCATTATAATTGTGTCTTATGTGCAGAATTTTTGATATTTAATAGTTTTATTCCAAATTCCTACAATATTATCAATATAACCAAATCTAACCTGTATAAAATTTTAACAAAATAATGGAAGCATTTAAATTATCAACACTTCTTTTACTTAACTATTTTCAATATTATTAATGCAATATGCTAACTAGTAATTTAAAAAAGTTATATTTATAAAGGAAATAGTTTTAAAAATACTTTTACATTAGAATTTTATTAATACTAAATCCCTTAATATAATTTTTACCTAAAAAAATGATCATTTCTTTATTAAAAAACAGTCTTATTTTATTAAAAAAATGCTTATTTTTAGTGTATAACAAGTGCATATTAAACTCTCTTATAGCAAATAGAATTGTATTTAATCAAATTGTATAAAATGTTATTTTTCAGCATATATTTTATCAGTTGTGTATTTGAATAATTTTATTTAACTAATACTCCAATTACTTGGTATATAAAAGAAAAAAAAAAAATATAATAATTGAAAGAAATTTATGCTTTTGTAAAACAAAAGTCTATAAATGTATCTTTCTGTTAACAAATCTTTTCTTAATTATTTTTGTTTGAAAAATAACAACAGAATAAAAGTAATTTCAATTACATGCAAAGTAATGATCTGTACTATTATCAATACTGCAATGACAACAAGTGAAAACTATGGTGTTGTTTATAAATGGGACTGTACGTTTGTTCAAAATGAAATAAACATATCCTTTAATAACCTTGAACTTTGTATTATTGTATTCAACTATGGTCGACCAGTAGCTGTATTTTGCTGTGCTTGTACAAATTCGGCATAATCAATATACCCATCATTATTAGTATCATCCAAATGAAGTATTGGATCTATTAAAGAAATCAATTCATCATCCTTAAATAATTTCTGATTGGTGTTGCCTCCAGTGAGCTCTATATTTCCTTGCTCTGGGTATAAAGAAGTTATTATAATTATTATGCTGAAAGTTAATAAGCTAATAATTAATTAATTTATACATACCATGCCAATGAATTAAAGACTTTATAAGTTCACAACCATCTAATTTATTATTATTGTCAGCATCGTGCATCTTAAAATAATAAAATTGCAGTTCCTGATCTGACATTTTATTGGTATCTATCGGAATCTCCATATGCTCTGCAATATGTCTGTAAAGCATTTTTTTAATAACTATTTGATATATAACTCATTAATGCTAGTGACTTCAGATTTATATAACATACGCTTTTTCATGAACTATGTTGGCAGCATTAAGTAGTGGTTGTGAATGTTCATATCCATGTTGAACTGGTACCTGATTAGTTTGCATATGCTGTTGTTGTATAGGCACTTGTTGAACTGGAACTTGTTGCATAGGTACCTGTCCTGGTTGGAACTTTATAAATTTTAACATAACAATACATAATTATTTTATAACCAATTTAAACTTTATTCAAACATGCAATATGTATAATATGATGCAATACATTATATTATGATTTAATATGGTACATTATATTATATTATATGACGTATTTACAAATGTTTAATGATTAATAATTCATAATTGAAAGATATTAGATATTTAGTATTACTATATGCATCTACCTGTTGTTGAGGAATTTGTTCTGGCATTTGATGTACGTGTGGAACAGGCTAAAATAAATTAAATATAAACTTATCTATAAATAACATAAATATTTTTTCTATGCAATTTAATATTCCATTTTAATATTCCCTAAGTAAAATTAATGATAAAATACAAAATGTTGAATTAGGCATGTATATAATAGTAACCATATGTTTGATTGCCTTAGAGAAGAAACTTACTTGTTGATAATGTTGGGGTGACACTCCTGGTGGAACTCTTTGTTGTTGAGCGTGTATATATTTACAACCGAAAAATCCAATTATAAAAAGCCACAAAGTCCAATTCATCTTGCAATATTTTACTATAAACGGACACACTTATATATTTAAAATACATAAAACAAATAGTATGAACATATCACTACGACCTAACAATATCATATTAAATTTTAAATTATAAAAAACAAAAATAAATAAAAAAATGAATAAAATACCTTGTTTATGTTATACAATATATACAAAGATTAACATGTACGCAAATGTCTTATTCATTAGCAAGACTGAATACCGGATCACGAATTTTAAGGTTATGTTACAAAAGTCATAGACTGACGTGGACAGATATCGTACGTATTACTTTCTACTATACTTCGAACTAGGTGTTCAAAATATAATATAAGATATCAATAAGATAATTTGTTATTAAACATTCATTATTCAAGCTAATATTTATTTGAAATAAACATAATTACAGAATCAGATAAAATAATGTTACTTTTTTAATCTGATAATGCTGTAATAAATTAATGTAAAACCGAAAAACGACATTTTATTTGAAAAATTGAAACCCTGGGAAAAATTAGTAATCTAAATGAATGTAATAGAAGTTATGCTAATTAGGTTTAAATAACAAGAAATTAAATAAATAATCATATCGGCATCATCGTATACTAGGAATTATTTTATAACCAGATAAAATAACATTGTATTTAAATTATCGTTTCAGAATGTATTAACCAATCATTATGCAGTGCAAATTGATGCACTTATAAATTACAATGCATTTTTATCATATACGTTATCTAAAAGAAATATATTTTCTAAGTAAAATTTTTGAATTTCTGGGGAATGTCCAGAAATCTACAAATGGCCGTTGAAGTATTTTTTATTTGTATATATAATTAAATCGGAATGAACAAATTTTAATAACCGAATAAGAAAGTGAGAAAGAATGAATTAAACCTTTATAAGAATATATTCTTATTTTTATTTAAAGTTTAAAATTAAGTAAATACTATTTTGCTTCTAATCAATGAGTTTATCCCGCCGTTCTGAGGAGGTTTGTACTTTTACAATGGCGGATATGTATTGCGCTACTCAACACCAAATTCATGATACGATTGTACTATCTTAAAAAAATCACTGCATAATTTACAACTGTATTAGGTTAAAAAGAAATCACATCACAAAAAAAGTATTCGTAAATTGAAGAATTTACAAAGGTTTAATCGTGTTGTCAGGTATGTACCAAAATTATACGCGGTTTCGTTGATTTTAGCACTAACTTTTGTCTTATACGATTTCAGAATTCAGAAATTTATTCTCCATATTTTTAATTTTTCTTATGTCATTATTTGTATCAAAATAAATATATTAATATATAAAATATTGTGTGTTTAATAACCCATAATTTGAGATACACTATTAACATCTCTTCAAATTTTTATCTTTTAAATAACTAAGTGTATTAAACTTCGGATAAGTAAAAAAATGTATATTTTATTGCTTCTACCGTTTTTGTGTAAGATAAAGTAACGTTTCTTATAAAAACATATATATTAACTAAATTATAAAGAATGTGTAAGATAATTGTCTAATGTAAAATTTCACTCAGTTACCTTTTTGTGAGTTTTGTATTTTTTTGGTATTTTTTTTTACATTTTAGAAGATCAAATAATAAATGGAAAATGCCTCAGATACTAAAACACTTTAAAAGATCACAGAAGAGAGTATTAGTTAAAAGGAGACATTTTTTAACAAATTATCCTGAAATTAAGTTTTATAAGCCATGTAAGTTTAAAAAATATGAAATTTTTAAATCACAAAATATTTTTAATACATTTGAAACTAATAACATAATTTGATTGTTACAGTATGTAAAAAATTGCAAAATAACAACAACTCATTAGCAAAAGCATTGTCTAAAGAAAAACAGGAAAGTCAACTATTATTTTCTCAAAATGTTGCTTTAATTGCAGAGGTACAAGACTTAGGTTTAGCTTGTAATAAACGTGATGTAAGTAAAATATATTATTAGGTATAAAAATATTTTCTGAATGTGTTAAAATCAAATTTATGAAAATACGTTTTTTAGTCTATTATATCAAATGTCTTGAAGAATGCAAAAGAAATGCTTAAAATGCTAGTGACAATGACTGGTTATTTAACAAATACAATTTCATCTTGTCAAGAATTTGCAGACTCTGTTGCCACAAATGTGCAGATGTCTTATAATTCTGCTGAAAGTAAGACCTCTTATGTTATCTTTCATATCATATAAATTTAAAGATAAGTTTCTAGCAAAGAAAATTGTTGCAGAAACAGAATCAATGAAAAGACTGTCAATAAAATCTCCAACTAAAGGAGTAGTGAAGCCTATGGTGAGCGGTTACACTATTACAAAACCCACCATTAATTTAAGTAGAGTAAACATGCAACATATTAATAATCCATCAAACTTAAGTATTATACCAGAGGTAACAACACCCCCTAGAAATGAAGAATTAAATAGTTCAAGGTCTTCTAATGTTTCTGAAAGACAACGTAAATGTGTAAGTATTTTGTAAAACCATTAAATTTAATCAAATTTTTTGAAACATTAAATTATGCCTGAATGAATTAAATACTGTATTAAATACTGTAGAAAAATGGTCGCACATACAGAATGCCTGAAAGATTAATTATTGCTTCACCAAGAGACAGTGGTAGGTTCTTTTAATACAATTCTTATTCCATATAAATTGATTATGACCTTGAAATTAATATAATTTTAATACTTATTTTTAGATGAAAATGAACGAAGGTTAAGTGAGAGAAATAGTAGGCATTCTGGAAGAATGTCACGGAGATTGTCAAAGTCAAAATCAAGATTGTCAAGGAATAGCAGTTCTCGATTTAATATTGAAAATTTAGAACATATAGGGAGTCCCAGAGTAAAGCTTAATGACGTATCGAAATTATTGCAAAATTCTCATAGTATTAATATTCGAATGGTTTGTGTCGTCGATACATTTTTTTTTTGCATAAAATTTATTTTCACGTTAATTTAGTTTTAATTACTATCTATAGCTAACAGAGAGTCAAAATAATCAAGAGATTAATAGCTCAGAAAATAGTGATGGTGTGGCTCTTGAAGATTCTCAGACAGGAATCATACAGGAAACACCACCTTCTGATGATGATTCCAAAGATGATAATGATAAACCAATCGAAAATGAAAGTGAACAAAGTAATAATCAATTAGATACTACAGCTCAACAAGAGAAAGAAAAGGTTAATGAGACAAAACGTCATACAACAAACTGGGAAGATCCTCTTGAAGGACCAAGTTGGTTATTTAACAATTCTCAAGTCGTGCCTTCTTTCACAAGTAAAGACAAAAAGACTGATGATGTAGATGTCTCTAATAATGATATTATGAGTACGATTTTAAATGCAGCAGAATTAGAGGATGTATTCAATAATGAAAAATCTATGGAAGAAATGTCATCATTATCAATGCCAAGTAGACATTCAAGGCATATGAACAACTCTAAAAGCAGTAAACCAATAAATGATGAAAGTGAATCTAATATATTTGAAGAAAATGAAAACAATGATGCATTTTATAATATGAATGTAGTGACAGATACCAATGGAGATGAGTGTACAACTGAGAGTGCATCTACAATGAATTTACCAAATTTTGTTACACAAAGACGAGGCTATTTTGAAAGCGAAGATGAAGATGATTTTACTCTAATGTATGTGCGACAACCACGTAACATGCACTTCGACATAAACGATTTGAAATTGCCAGTTTTAGAACAATCTACTTTGAAGCCGATGGTTTCAGCTGAACCAGAACCAGAAGTAACCACTACACTTCAAAAGATATCCCAAATTTGTCCAATCCCGTCTGTTTCACATAACTCTTTAGATGAATCTGCGTTTAATCAATCTACCGTAAAACTGCCACTGCTGAATAGTAACTATGATGAGAAAGAATTCACGCCATTAAAAAAAAACTTGCAGCAGAAAAAAAAAAGGAAGAAAGCGATTGTAACCCAATCCAATGATATGGTTCAAAATGCATCATCCTTTAGAAAAAGTAATTATCAGAAAAAAAGGAAAAACAAGTTAGTACAGGATCCAAGCACTGTTAAGGTAGTATTACAGAAATTGAACGAATCTGATGTTAAATCTAGAACTCCTTCTCCGAATGAAATACTTTCTCGTGATTCGAATCAGTCTTTGTAAGTGTATTACAATTTGTATATTACGTTACATTAAGTTTACATAATTGTAATTTAACTACTTATATGCAGAAGTCCTGTATCTTCACACGCGGATAACTCGAGTGACTCAGAAAGTAGTATGAGTACCAATAGCACATGTACTTCTAGTCGTCCTAGACGAAAACGAGCTCCAACCAGTTTTTATGAGCCAAATTTGAAAATGTGAGTATTTTGGTTCATTTCGATTTGTGTAAATTGTTTGTATATTTTTGTGAAATTATATTAAACTGTCATTGCTTCTTATTTTAGGAAACTACGAAGGAACGAGTAACTACGCTACAACATTTGTCGGTACACAAAACACAATTGATAAAACACAGTGTTGTGTTTTCAGATTCATCGATATTCTTTTTGATGTAAATAAGTTAATGACGTGTGTGGTGAATGAAGAAGACCTCACAGAAACTAGAAATTAAATTAAATTCATTAAACATCTGTAATCAGTAAAGCAAGTTCACTCCTCGAGCCGTTTTGCTTCCATTGTTGCGCACATTTTTGTTACACCAGTAATTGTTAATTATTTACAGGAAATCGAGAGGCTTTGACGTAGTCATAGCTTTGAATTTTGGCTTCCTCTCGTAGTAATATTCGTATATTATACTTTTTGTATCCTTATCTATGTTTTAATGAATAAACAAGCATTTAAGAACATTTATTTTCGTTTACCAATATACATTTGAACTTGAATTACTGAAATATCGTTTTATTCCCGAATGATTTATTGATTATTCATTTTCGTGAAATCGAAATCTTATGAATTTCAAATGACTTCAAAAATCATTAGTAGATCAAACATCACTATGAAGGCAAAATAGGAAAATTTCACATGTAACGAAACTATGAATCATGAAATAATAAATTCATCGAAAAATATTATTTTCCTTCAGATTAATAATTTTTTGTATAATGATATATAAATCTCCAAGATTATCTTTTCTAATTTTAAGTATCAGATATCGATTAAATATCTGTTGTAATAATCGTGCTCTCCACGAGCTTCATTCTTCATCTTACATGATATATGCATATATTACGTTATATTTTGCAATGTTCCTAAATTCATGTAAAATTATAGGATGCCAGTGGTTGATGATTTAACTGTACATTATAATTATTAAAAACACGAAAGTTACAATTTCTGTAGTGTTTAGCGATTGATGGAACGATTTAAAAACGATCAGTCTTATTGGTAGCGTTCAGAGAGGTCGCATCGGTGCATAAATAAAAAAGTTTGGCTCGGACAAGAAATGTTGCGTATAATAAATTTAACCTTCCCAGCCTAGGTTGACACGACTATAGAGTATTCGGCGTAGAGGCGGAAATTAATCGTTTGTTTAATTTTAAGACGAGAAAGCAACTGTTATTATCATTCCTAGATAAATAGACGACCGATACATGATTTTATTTGGTACTCTATCGACTTAATGAAACCTTCAAAGATAATCAATTGCAATATTTTTCGTATCTTCTGTAATATCATTTCAACGTACACGAAATATACGAATACTTGAAATAAATTATAAAATTCTTTATAATAATTTTCTCAAATTAAAATATTTTTTTAGAATTATCGTTATTTTATTTTCATTAAAATTTGATCTAGAGATTCTCTGTGATAAATATTCGTAATGGTGAACAAAGTTCCATTACTTCAAAAACTGCAATAATTCGTTGCAAGATAATTGGCAGTGACTTAATTGAACCGCTACTGGGTAGCGATCGCAAGGCGTGGGTGTACGCACGCGGAACTTTCTGTTGCTAAAAGTCTAAACTTGAGGTCAACGCTTAATTTGCATAGCCGATATAGCAACGTGTTGTAAAGTTGTTTTTGTATTCGCAGTTTGTGTTTGTGGTACCGTAACGCGTGCAGAAATAAAGAAACCAGCTACCCTAAGACACTCGTGCGATTATACATATTATTTACGTTTATTATGAATATTAAACGAACTGATCGTATCGTTCGATGCAACAGTATTTTATATTTTATTGCAATAAATATGCCCGCTAATCGTAAATATCTTCTTCTTAGAATTCTTTTCGGATTTCATCCGACGTTTCAATTGGTAAACAATTTAGTAGAAGATCAATGGATGTCCAGGCTCACATGGACGTAAATATTTTACCTGCAGTGACCCTTGCTGAGCTGAGACAAGCGACTATTTTCATGTTTTCGTAAACAAGTGACCCGAAAGGGTCTAAAATAATATAGAGCTCTATCTCGGGTAAATTGAAACGTTATTTTCTAGCGATGAGTAAATCAGACGAACTGAAAGTATATTCAATACGATATACCGTTTAATTTACGATCCTCTTTGAAAAAATAAATACCAAACGCGATATTACGTATATTGATTCACAAAGGTTGTTACTGTTCGTATAAAGCAGCTTCGTATTTTGAAAGAAGAGGTGTAACAAATGTTGTACTCGACTTAGAATTCCAATGAATTAGTATTTAATTAAGATTGCGGAACATTTCGCTCAAGATACGAATAGTCGATTATAAGCGTTATGTGGTGAATGCGAGATAGCATGAAACAATCGTGATTGGTGTATTGACTTGTACCACGCTTGATACGGGTTTATGCAATGGTTAGCATTAACACGTTCGTCCATGCAAGTATAATTACGTGCAGCTAGTACATTAAAGCGAAGAACAACAAGGTTACCGATTTCTTCATAAATCTCGACTTAGCAACCTTTTTTTCCCTTTAAATCCTTCTGCACTCATTTCAAATAAATTTTCATCGTTGGAGAAACGAGGAGATACTGAATCTGCGTATAAACGGCTTGGATGTTCTGAAAGGCGAAGCATGAAACAAGCTGGTCTTACAACGCGTGCTACGGGAACATGAAAAACACCCACTCGCGTGGGAGTGGAATAGTAAAGTCCAAGAAAAAAGAAGAAAAAAAAAGTCGCGTACTAGCGCAACACTGAGACATTTAGAAGACATACCAAATCCTTGTGCCGCGAAATACACGAGCGCGATATTTTCGCTGTTCAATAACGCTCGCATCATTTATGCAACATCATAGAGCACCGCTATTATCGAGTCTCGAAAATAACGCGAATTTCAACCAGTAAAAGTGGCGTCTTTAACGCGCGTTCCAGCGTTCAAACTCTCCCTCCACAGGAACAACAATGCGGCAGTGCGCATGCGTCGGCCATTTCCTAGTAGCGCCGATTGTCTAGCCAATGGTGAATGGTGGGTGACGCCAGCGGCAGCCAATCAGCGTTCGTTACGGTGACGACCGAGCTATTTTTAGTGGACGTGAGTCACGGGATATAAGGCTGTACGTTTAGTTGGGTGTTCACAAGTTGTCGAGACATCGTGCTGTGCAGCCAAGTGACATCCGCATTCGGTGTACATTGCAGGCTGTTTTAGAGGTGCACACGCGCAGAACATCACGTTCATCGGATTGCGTGTCGTGAGTCATTGTTGTGTTGACAGTTGAACCAGATCGGTCCTCGTGTCGCCGTCGGTTTTTGAAACCGAGACGGATAGGCACGAGTCGCAACTGTGAGCGACGCGTTTGCAGGCCGCGTAGTCAGTGGACGGAACACACACCTTTTGCGTCTCAACTTCGACTTGATATCGTGGGCCGTTGAAATACGTGGCGAGTGCCGCGGACGTAGTAGGTGATTCCCAAACCGTATTTAGAGTGCGGATCGAACCACTGGCATCTGGTGACGGCCGGCCGTGTGGCAAGTGCGATTAATAAAGAAGAAACTGCAGCGTCGATAAATTTCTTGAACACGGCGGTAGCGCGGTTATGTAACAAGTGAAAAACTAGATACACGATAGTGCTCGGGTTGAAAACGCGAACGCGTTGTGAATAAAACAGAGACGAGCAGATAGACGGAGAGGCAATCGATCATCGAACGTGACCGATCGCGCTTTTCCAGCAACGGTGAGTGTGTGCGTGAGTGTTAAGCGACGGAGTCAGCGATACACTGTGCTCCAGTCGCGCGCCGTTCGTTTTGAGAATCTGTGAACTTTCGATTGACACGCAGTCAGTTTCACGGCACCGATGGTGCGAAGTTCGACAATGGAGCAAACGTTTTACGAGGACACGAGCGTCTACAGCGCCGTGAATCGCGAGAACAACGTGGGCCAGTTGAAGCGTAACCTTACGCTAGATCTGAACGGATGTCAGCGGCAAGGGCCTACAGCGAAGAGGCCGCGATTAGGGCCCCTACCACCGGCTTTGAACAACGTTACGCCAATTTTGAGCTCTCCGGACTTGAACATGTTGAAATTGGGTTCTCCGGAGCTGGAAAAATTTATCATCGCTCAGCAGGATAGTCTCGTGACGAATCTACCAACGCCTACGCAGATTCTGTTCCCGAAGGCGGTCACCGAAGCGCAAGAGTTGTATGCTCGCGGTTTCGTAGACGCTCTCAACGAACTTCATCATTCGGACAGCTCGCAGGAACCGGGTAGCATTCATGGGGCCACGTACACGACTTTGGAGCCGCCGAACAGCGTACAGAGCACGGAATCGTCGGTGAGCCAGGGTCTGGTGCAGATCAAGGACGAGCCGCAGACGGTACCCAGCGTATCGAGTTCACCCCCGATGTCTCCCATCGACATGGAGAATCAGGAAAGGATCAAGCTAGAGAGGAAACGTCAGAGGAATCGCGTGGCTGCGTCCAAGTGCCGCAGGCGCAAGCTCGAGCGCATCTCCAAGCTGGAGGACAAGGTTAAGCTGTTGAAGGGTGAGAACAGCGAACTGAGCGCCGTGGTGCATAGGCTGAAGGAGCACGTGTGCCGGCTGAAGGAGCAGGTGATGGACCACGTGCATTCTGGATGCCAGATCATGACGGTTTCGGGTCAGTTCTGAGCCGACGGTACCGGACGGGACTATCCGACGTGTATTGTTTCGTCTGACGGCGGCTATGGCTGCTTCACCAATCGCGACGATCTTGTTCCCCGTTACCGGAGGCAGAAGCTTCTATTATGGGATATCTATGTCGTCGTCGCTTGTTTACATTGGATTACGTCGTTTTCGATTTCTGGTTGCTTCGTTGTTTTCTGGAAAAGGGGACACGGTGATGTTCGTGCGTGACGGCGTGAGGAGTGGAGCAAGAAGAAGAAAAAAAGGGAGTGCCTTGATGTGTCGGGCGCGAAATAGAGAGATGCCTTTTTTCGGAAAAGGACAAGGAGATAATCATCCGTATATACGTCTCTCTTTGTGTGTGCCCGCTTTACATGCATACGCATGTGAAATGCGTTGCGTGCACGGGTATAGAACGACGGCGTGGAAGGGAGCCATGGAGAATGCGAGAGCAAGAGAGACAGACAGCGCCGAGCCGTACATCGCTGATGAGGAGTAGTGGGGAGAAAAGGATGGAGAAAAAGGAGAGTGGGTGGGACTTCACGGAGAAGAGTGGGACCTCGCGACGCGGTCATTTTGGAGAACCGCGAGTACTGGCGGGAGATTCGAATCTCCCGACCGTTCTTTTAGAAATTTTCCGATCGTATTACACGTATATTTGCCGAGGGAAAGCGATCGAATTGATAATAATTGACGACGGTCGATCGAGCATCTTTCGATTCTCGTTTGTTGTTTGTCTCACGCTCGATGGCTGTCTTTTATGTCCTTTCTACCGATTCTTTATATTGTTCTTTCTTCGAGTTTTCCCTCTGCTCAGAGGATAATAATTCCTCTTTGCATTCTTTGTAATCGATCCATGAAAAACAGTTTTTGTGATCGCCTGCATCGTTTCTTACTATTTTTTTTTCCTTTCTTTTTTCTCATTTTGTAACGAATGCGTGTGTTACTGTATAGTAAGTAAGAATCATCGTCACCGCGAAATCTTCTGGAGAAATAGCTTTCTTTCTTTTTTGTGTACAAGTTTTCTCTCGATTTATCGAGAATCTAGAAAATTCCCGGGATTTCGTGGGAATCGTCGCGATGATAGAAATCGAAACTTTATTCGACGTTCGACGCGGAATAATTCTTCGCCCTTTCTTTTATTTTCTTTTTTTTTTTTTTTTTTTTTTTTTTTTTTTTTTTTTTTTTTTTTTTTTTTTTTTTTTTTTTTTTTTTTTTTTTTTTTTTTTTTTTTTTTTTTTTTTTTTTTTTTTTTCTTTTTTCTTCGAATGATAATCAAAATTGCGTTCGAGGGAAAACGTAGGGTGAAAAGAAAAATGCAGCCGACCATTCACACGTATTCACGCGCAAAGAATAGAAAGATCGGAAAAGCATGTAGGCTAAGAGAATTAATTTTTGGGAGGGACGAATGTGTCGAATGCGTCTAATAAGAGGCGAGAAATGAAGAAACAAGTGCTTTCTATTAATGTTAATCGAAGTTTCTGGTGCGGGAATCGACGAGCTATCGTCGTTCGAAGGTGCTGTAGAAAAATTTCTCGAGCTACGTCGAGTTTCTTTTCCCTTTCGATCGGTTTTTCTTTATTTTATTTCATTTTTCACGATAAGAAAGCGAGCTTACGAAATTCCTCGACGATTTCGCCTTTCCGATTGCGACCGATCCTGCGGCCGTAAACGGAAACGTTCCGATCCCGCTTCGTGATTGGAGAACCGCCATTGTTTTTTAAGGCTGTACAAAATAGGGTAGCGTTTGGAACAGTTGCAGGCGTCGAAATCACCGCGTTTAGAGGCCTTCGTTTCTCGTACTTCGTTACGATTCAACCACGCGTTTTTCGTCGAAAAATTCGAATTTTCGAATCGAATTTTTCTTCTGCTTCCGAGTACGTGATGTTGTAGTAAATCATGGCCACGACGCGACTCTCCGTGAAAGAGCTCCGAATCTTGCTCCCTCTTTCTTCCCCCTCCTCTATTTCCCTTCCCCTTTCAACTTTCTTTTTCGTTTCTTCCGTAGCTTTTAAGCCGGAAACTGCGTGTGATCCCCTTCGGTCCCAGAGACATGTCTTTCCGTGTCTCTGGAACCGTGGTTTCGTCATATGTGCATCTAGTCTTGTCCAGTATGCCCTCGTAATTTATGCGCGCTGCGTACTACTCGCAGATCCGCATAAAACACGAACAGACACATGTAACACGTGCGTAGGTTTCGATTGTGTTACCACGTGCAACGGCGATACTTGCATTTAGGAGGAACGCTTGGGAGAAAAGCCTGTTTTTCTACCCTCTTTCTCCTTTCTCCTCTCTATACGAATATCGATTATCGATGCCCTCTCTGCTCCTCTCTGTTTTCCTCTTTCTTTCCTTCCTTTTCTTCTCTTTCGAATCGAAGAAGCAAGTGGTAACAGAATCGTACGGCGTTACCGTTGTGCCATTACGCAAGGAGTCGCTGTAAAAAACAAGTTTTCTCCCGGAGCGTGGCAACACTTTTGCGAATAGTACAAGGATAATCGTGATCGACGAGTTACGAGATTTCTCAGCGACTTTTCTCAGCAATAATCGAGCAATCGCGAGTCGATACGTTCTTTTATTAGCACCGGTGCGTGTCTAGGTATCTACATAATTTCGTGGCCTCTGATCATGTTCGTCGCACCGCGTAAATGATCGAACGCTTCGAGTTGCACAATTAAATTGTGAAAATCCGACAAGTTGAGCGAGCGAAAGAATAAAATCGGACGACTGAGGGAAGAAACGTGTTCACCGTGGTTGCTCGTTCTTTTTATTACCATAATTCCTGCCTCTCCTTCATACGCCGAGGAGAAATAAGGATTGTCCACGAGAAGGAAGGA